TCCGATTAAGTAATTCAAATGTATAGGTCCAAATCAAGATGTTCGTGATCTCTCTTGCAGCCATGGTGGCATCTACCATAGAAAAGACTGTAAGACTTGACACACTTTCTGCAGTGGTCACTCTGCACTCTGGTTAGTCCAGTATTTTGAAAGCATCTTTGTAACACTGGGTGAAGTGCTGCAGCACTGCTCTGCTCCCTGGCTTGCTCCAGGATAGGGATAGGGTGGAGAGGCATGGTCCATACCTTCCAGGCTAACTCCTGGATGTGCAGAGAAACGCTCACTGGGCATATTGTGAGTGACTCACACCTATATCCCCTAAAGGCTCTTTCTGAGTGAGGTTTTGCATGTGTCTGAGTGATTTCCTGAACAAAATCCTTCAACTGTAAATCTGGTACATTTGCTTTATGCCAGTAGCACTATGGTAATAAACAAGTGACAGTTCACACATTTAATGCCAGCACATGACTAGCCTCTTTCAGTCTAAAATAAGTAATTCCATGGTCTTGTGAGGGCGACTATGAGGAAAGAGATTCCGAAATACTAAGTACTTGAGGGGATTAGCAAAAAATGCAAGCGTTTGTCTTTCAGGTTAATAGCCCGTGTGGATGCTGTCATTCTGCCCTGGGGAACCTGTGGGTTGGCATCAAGGCTGTCTCTGAGCATGTTGAGAGAAGTTAAAGTATTATTAATATGGGCCACGTTCCACGGATGTGCAGCTTCGAGGTGCTGAGGACACCCTTGTTAAAACCTTGGCAGATCATCACAAGCATCTTCCATGCTTCTGGCCTGAGGGAGGCGTTCCTTTATGAGCTGCATGAATCAGGAAAAAAGGGGAAGGTTCCAAAACAAAGCCAAAGTTCAAACTTGGGAGAAAAAAAATCTAACTTTTTAAACTAGCATATTCTTCTGGGGCATGTAGTTGCAGGCATGTGCAAAAGCACGGTGAGTTGTGAGGAAGGTGTAAGGCTTGCTGAGAAAGGACCTCTCGAGTTTTCTGCGTGGTTGACCAGTACTGATTCCTCTGCTAAAGACTTGCATTTTGCCAGGAAGTTTTCCAGCTGAAGTAGACATGTTCCTACCACTGAGATGAAACAGCTTACTGAACTTTGATGAACTTGCAGAAAATATCTGAATTTTTTTACTGTAAAAAGCTTTTCACCGTGCAAGTAAATGGAATGCATAGGACTTATGACTAAAGGCAAGAAACTTTAGAGCAAAATGAGGGTGTCATAAAGTCCAAAGTCAAAGCCTGTTCCTTAGCACCTGGCCTGCCCAGAAGGCTGCTCTGGGGGTATCCTCTTTGGTTGGCCTCTTGCAGCTGCATGAGCAACCTGTTGAGAAGTGTCACTATAACAGGTACCAGTTCTGTTCACTGGGGAACCTCGATAGCTGGATGAACATGTCAGGAGCAGTGTCCTATGCAGTCCTAACCTGCTAGTCCCTCTCCTGTAAGCACAGGTTAAACATTCCTACAGATGAGTGTTAATCCTCTGGAAAGGGAACAGACAGGATGGCAATTTAAAAAGAATTGTCCTGTTACACTAAAATTTATCTCTGTTGTGCATTTACTTTGAACAAGAACGCTGGAAGCTGGTTTAAATAAGTGAGAGTGCTTTAAGTTCTCTGCTTTGTACTGAGTGTTTTCAACCCCAGCTTTTGTGTATGGAAAGAGAAGTCCAAATCAAATGTAACTATAGTATAGAGTTATCCTTACTCCCCCACCTCAAAGCTTGGCATCTGGTCATTTTTACAGTTTGTGAAAATTCATAATGTTGTCAGGCTTGGTAAAGCCAACTTCTGTGTAGCTGAGGACCTTCATTCCCCCCTGTGTTCTTCACAGGAGACAGTTCCTGGCCACTGTCAGGACCATAAAGATTCAAGTGGTCCCTGGAGTGGTCACTGGTTCAGGTAGAGCTGTAATTTGAATATTGCTATAGGTTTTATGCCACAACTTGCTGGTGACTGAGACAGCAACTGAACCTGTGGATCTGCTCTGGCATTGGTGGTAGACCTCCTTCAAGCAGGAGGCTGGGCTGAGTAACATCCATACAACCCATGTTTTGTGGTAGTTCATGGAGGTGATGCTGAGCAATATGCAAGGCCAAGCGAGCAGGCAAGATGCAGAAATAGAAGAAATCATTCCAATAGCATCAGGACACAAAGGGTTGTTGAGGGATGGCAGTTCACATGCCTGTACATATGTTGGGGTTTGTCTACTCCCACCATATTAAGCTAGAAGTGAAAAAATTTAATGCTCCCTCTCAAGAGACATCCAACCTCCTTGAAATGTTTATAGCAGTCAAAGTTTCTCTGCTCAGAATAAGCCAAAAAGATTGGTGTGCTTTGGATGAGTATGTCTCTATTCATATTTCAAAAAATGCCTACATCTTAAATTACCTTCTGCAGGCTGCTGTGAAGAGTGAAGTGCCAGGGAGGGGCCTTTATACATTTATAAAGTGATGCATCGTGCTGATGTTGTATCTGTCATCTGATTTTGAAAAAATTAGCGCAAACAGGGGAGAAAACATTTCCTATTTTAAGTCTGTCTGATTACTCGCCTGTGAACAGTTTATTAATCCAGTTGGCCTGCTGCAACTCTGGGAGGGATTCTTTGGACAAAACACCTAGTATATTTTGTACTGTTTTAGCTGAAAACAAATCATCTTTCTAATTATCCGCTTTGAAAAGATGTTCACTGGCTAAATTCAGCAAAATTTTACATGCGCATTGGGAGGTGTTAAGAGAAGCCTGAAAACAACACTATTTGCTGTTAAAAAAAAAACTCATCAGGGTGAAGAGAAATTACTTGGGATTGATACTGAACTGTTAGTTATTTCTGGAGGGCAAATAAATTGACGAAAAATCAATTCTGCCCCTTAGCCTATATTGGTAAGTTGGGGCTGGTCATGCTCAGCTCATTGCACAGAAAAGAGAAGCCACAAAACAAGGATTCCCTTGTTCTCTCTGGTGCATTTTCAAGGGGACTTGGTGGTTCAACAAATGAAGTCTGAAAAGCTCAATCATCACACCCATTTTCTCCCCTGGGCCTTCAGGTACATAATGCTGTGCTCTCAACCATCATCTGGCACCCCAGTAACATCCTGGGCCTGGGCTTCCCATCCTGGGGGAAGGAAGGTAAGAGCTCTCCTGCATGGGAAGCAGGGCTGTATTTGCAGCTTTCCAGCCTGCCAGAGTGACTGCATCAGTGGCAGCAGCAAGCATGTCCCCAGCAGCCATGCTGGCTGCAACCCACCACTTGGGCACAGGGGGAAGCCACAGCCCAGGGAAGCCCAACAGAAGGGAAGCTTCCAGCCTGTGGGAAGGGAGAGTGGTGGTGTGCTGGAGCGGCAGGAAGGGACACTGCAAGGAGGAGTTGCCCAACCAAGACAGTCTCCCACAGGAAATTTAGGGCACGTTTAAAGTTGATTTGTCCAGCATCCGCCAAAGGCAGAACCAGGAACTTGGTTGTGTCCCCCGGGGTCTTGTTGAGACAGTCAAACGGATATTCAGGGTATGCTGGAGCAGAGCTAAGCCCAACAGCACACAGCTGTTTTACCATCGTAGAAAGTCTAACTTACAAAGAGGAATTTTTCCTTGTTGATATGTATGATTTTCTTTGGAGAGTGATGGTCCTTTGGGCTCTCTGCTTTTTCACTCATCTGTTAAAAAAGCCCCATTTTGGGACATCCCAATTCTTCCAGCCAAGAAAATCTGGATTCTGCTCCTGGCTTGCTCAGAAATGGTTGCTCAAGAGCAAAATTCCTGTCAGGAATTGGATGCACAACATCCAATGTGCTCCTGGGGTCAGAAAAATAGGTCTTAGGCTCGCAGAGAAATCCTCCGCATGGCAGTACATTACGTCAGTACAGAAATGGATCATCCAATTTTGCATTCCAATAGGAAATGCAGCAGCCAGGTGATATGTCCAGCGATATGCAAGTTTAATAAACTTCCTGCTCGATTTGTGGACAGAATAAATAGTTCCATGATGTCTGCCTGACAAAGCCAAACTGTACACCTCTCTGTAGTGCAACTAGAAGTGCTACAGTTAAAGGACTGTCAACATTTCCCATCTGGATGGATGATTTAGCTGCTTTGCTTCACATCAGGGCTAGCTTGGCGTTTGGCTTACCCAGTGCTGCTACAAGACTCTGCTTTTATTGAATATAACTTTCATCCACTGGCTATGTCATTCTTGGGCTTGAAAAAGGAGTTTTAAGCAGTATTAGACTAGAAGGATAATGAATATTTAAACACATAATTTTGAAAATCCTTGGAGAATAGGAAGAAACTTAGAGGCGGACACACACGGAGTCTGGAGATGGCAAACGTTCTCCCCTCCTTGTTTTTAGTTTTAAAAAAAAAGATCCATGAGATTGAACTATTACTCATTAGTGCCTGCCCCCCAGCTTTCTGTTCCACGCCGGATGCACAGTGTTTGTATAGAAAGCAAACTTATTGCACTGTGTAATAAGATTTGAATGCAAACATTTAATTAACATTATCTGTTCAGAAGCATTGTTTAAACACAAGTTAACCTTTCTGTGCCAAGGCTGAATGAAACTGTGAAACTTAAGGTTGGGTTTTTTGTTCCACTGACCAGCGCCATGGATTGATGTGCTGTTGATACAACCACTTTCTCAGGTTTCACGTATGGAAGTCTATGATGGAGTAGTAACTTCATTAATTTGGCCCATAGTGATTCAGTTGAATACTAATATTTTGACCTTATTCCCTAGGTAATATTCTTTCCTGCTGCACAGACTTGGAAAGCGTGGCCATCCCTGTGGTGTGAGCCACGTTTATGACAAACTTTCGGAAAAATAATATTTCACACATTGGTTCTTAACACTTTCTGTATTACCAGAAAGAGGTACAGGTCCTCATTGTTCTGTAGTTGTTGAGTGTTCCTTTCTTTCCCTTTTTTTAGTATCCTGACATTCACAGTTCTGCCTGCCCTGTAACCCAGGAAGGAGAAGGATGTGGGTCCTGTGCACAGCTGACCTCACCTGGGCTTGACACAGCTGTGAACCTCTGGCCCCAGCTCAGAGGATAAGGATGCATATCTACAAAGGTATTTAAGCAACAAGCTCCTTTAATGCCTTTGTGCATCTAAAACCCTACAGTGGATCCACCAGGCTTTCTTAAGCAAGTATGTGGAGAAGCTGGACATTGGTTACGTGTTGACTGACCCTCATAGTCAACTCAGTAATCACTGAGGTGGAATCTGCCTGCCTATCTCAAGGAGGAGGTGGAAACTGGGCTAGGAATTATGTTTTGTGAAAATACAATACAAATTCCTAACCCAGTTTTCAGTCGGGAGAGCGTGTTATTGTTGAACAATTGATACCACTTCATGGAAGCTTATTTTCTGTGCCTTAAGGGAAATTCAATTAAATGAACTTCTATTTTAAAACGCTGCTCTTTCCTGTCACCGATGAAGCAATAACAGTTGCAGAACATGGGGTTTTCTGGGAGTGTTGGTTGTTTGTTCTCATTTATATTAATTTTGCAGCCTCCAAATGAATCTTATCTATAATACTCCCTGAGACAGCCCACTAGAGACCTAACTGATTTCACTAGTGACTTCAGGCTGGTGCGTGCTTGCTGCCCACAAGGCAACAAGAAAGGCATGTCCCATAGCTGCAGGAGGTAATGCTTAGAGATACTGTGGCCCCAGTAAATAGGGCTGTACATGACAGTAGCTGAGGTTTGTGGCATACTTCTACCCATAGGCTGTTGCTGACACCCAGACGAGCTTGTTTCTCTACATAGTGAACTGCTTCTGTCATTATCCAGCCCAGAAACCAAAATGTTCACAAGTGGTACGAGTCTATTGTCTAGCCTTTGCCTTTCCATGCTCGTTACAGCTCAGCAAATGCAGAGATTTGAATCTAGCATGACAAGAAGTGTCAGAGTTGGGAGTTAATTCTCTGTGAAATAATTTTGGTGATGGGATGCTGCCAGAAAGCTTGACTCTACATTTCTTGGACACCCCAGATTCCCACAAACTGCAAGGAGAGATCTGTATGGGCAAGGAATGCAGCTTGAGCTTGCAAAGTTTCCAGCTAGAGATATCTTAGCACCTGAGTGGGATGCACTTAAGAGCCTGCTGTGTCAAAAAGGTGACCCTTCTAGGACTGGAACCATTTATAGAATGCTGATTTTTAGTGCAGAGCACATTTTTATAACTGACTTCTATAAATTTTAAATACCAGGTCAATTAAGCTTGATAGTGCTGACAGAGTCTTAATTAAATTAGTGTGAACAATATCAGTCTTGCATAACTCTGTTTCAATCAAAAGCATCAGAAATTATGATTTTTCTTCATTGTCCCTTGTATGGGATGATGGTCTGAGAGCTTTTTCCCATTTCCAGTACTGGTGGCTCATTAATTTGTCCATAATTTTGAGCTTTCTACTCCACTCCCATCTCTCTTCGGTTCTCTGTTTTGCTTCCTTACCACTAACACTTTGGCTCATTCCCTACCATCCTGTATAGTGGCTACAGAGAGTTCAAGTGGCCCTTCTGTCCCTCCATTTAATAGTGGAGGGTGCAAACGTGCAGTCTCTCAACAAGGATGGATCTTGCAAAATACCAACTACCAAGAGCTTGTACTTGGTGCCCAGCACTTTTTTTTCTTTTCTTTTCTTTTTTTTTTTTGGAGGCAGACTGAGTCCCTGGACAAAACTGTCATTTAAGCACAGTGGAAATTCAGTCTGCAGGTAGATTGTTGAGCCAGGGTTGCTCCGGGATGTTGGCAGTCCAGGTGACTTCAGTGAAAGGGGTGCTGATTAATTGCTTGGGTACATAAGAGTTAAAGGTAATGTAATGTCTGGTCTTGCTGTCAGAGTCTCCTACCTGTCTGCCTGTGCAAGGGGGACAGCTCACCTGCCAGCCTTTGAGTCATGGGCAAGGGCAGCCACACGTGCAGATGAGCACAAGCCAGAACAAAGCCCTGTCCTCGCTCCACAGGTGAGGGGCAAAGATCCTGGCAGGCCCCCTGGTAGGAGCTCACTGCTTTCTCTAGTTTCAGTACCTGTGCTTGTGGCACACAGAAGCAGCTGTTAGGTGAGGTGAACACAGGAAATGCTTATGTGATTCCTGGAACTTCAGCTTACCTGGCTCCTTCCTGGGGGACCACAACACTGGATGCCCGTTGTCCCCTCCTGTCACCAGATAGCTGGGGAGCAGACAGCAGAAGTCTGGCTTTGCCTGGCCTTATGCCACCCATGGGTCAGCTAAGGAAAAGGAAATCCCCAACTGCTCCCACGGACAGCTCAAATCTGAAAATGGTGCGAGGGGAACTTAACCTGGACATGATAGCTGACATCTGACCTGAAATCTCCTCTTCAGCTCAAGAAATAGTTTACTGTCTCTGTCTAAATGTTTTTGTCTGTCTCTGCTTGAAAGCTTTAAATAATTTCACAAAACTACTCACACATCGCACACTGCAAAACAGATAAACAGGGAGAGGAGCTGCGTGTGTTTAACAGGCTGGAATACAACCAAAAAAGGACTTAAAGTCCGCGATCAACTTGGTAGCACACAGGGGCCACCAGGGGCGATCACAAGGGTTGACTTGAGTTCTGCTCCCTCTGCTGCTTTCTTATCCCAGTTATGTCCTTGATCTCTGAGTTAATCATTCTCTGATAACTTAGGCTTGATCAAACCTTCAGCTCTTGTGAACAAATGTTGTTGCCATCTTCAGGGAACATGTGGATCAAGTTCTCAGCATCTTGAAAGTGCTGCCATGTCCTGAAATCCTATTTCTTAGACTGCACTTCATCTTATCTGTTCTGCATTTAGTGCCCTCTTGCTTTGTGTTCATACTCAGCCCACACGATGTAGAACACAAATACAGAGGTTTTGTGTGAGACTACTAGAAGATTGTAATCTTCTGGTTTTATCTCTCCTTCCAGACATATCCTGAAATGACTCGTTCGTTCTTCTCTTTTTATTTCACAATGTAAGCATTTCACAGAGGAGGTGACATCTTTCAGTGCTTTAGCATTTCATCTCCCTACGTCTTCACATTTTTTTCCACTTTCTCATCTGCATGTTACCAAATTAATTATACTGCACAATGACTTTAAAAAGACAAACAAAGGCTAACAAGGATATTTCTTGGCAGTTGGTCGTTGTTTTGCCTTGGGCCCATATCTTTGCTTGCTGCTTTCCACTGGGTGCTGAAGCCGTGCTTGTGTTTAAAGATAACTGCTCTGAGCATGATTATATCTTATTTTCTGCATATGCTTTCAGGAGGGTTTAATGGTGGATAATCTGCCCACTATAACCACATTTCCAGACAATAGCAGGCTGCAGAACACAGTGCGATAACGTGTTGGCAAATCTTGTTTATGTTCGTTCCTTGTCATTATATTTAGATTCCAATGGTTTAAGTGCACACAGGGAAAAAAAAAATAAAAGAGGAAAAAAAGAGCTGAAATCAATGGCTGCAGATATACTCGGTTTTTGTAGTCCACAACCAAAGATGACATGGTTTCTAGGTGAGGTGCAAGATATTTTTCCATCTGAATCTGTCTGTAAAATCAGCATAAGCTAAAATAAGATCTTTCTATCTACTCATGCAGATTGACTAATCATGTTGATGTGACTGGACCAACTTTCAATAATGACATTGGAGAATAACTGCAGAAGCTATCATCTTCTCCAGGGGACTCCAGGTAAATTTCTGAAGCTCAGTGTGTCTCTCAAGTGTGAGCAAACAGAGGCTGTTGAGAGCAGATGAAACTTCCCATTCTTAGTGTCTTCTTCTGACACATTTTGCACAAGCAATACCACAATGCTAATTACTTTTGTAGCAGAGTAATTTCTCTTCATTGACTTTTCTTCTGTAAGCATAGTTAGTAATTGAAATAGTCAAATTCCATTTGAGATTGTGCATAAGTGACTTTGCTTCAGTTTCCTGTCTTGTTAAAGATATAGCCAGTGTTTAAAGAGTTAGGAAGTTGTGTTTCTTGAAAGACCCGTTCCTTTAAATTCCTGCAAACATATTTAATTTCTGAGTGCCACGTGTCAGTAAAGTCCTGAAAACATGCTGAAGGCGCATTATTTCCACACGGGTCAGAACCATCTTTTGCAAGACTAAAAAAAGATCTGATCTTGTCTCAAATTGTACTCCTGGTTCCTAGAAATACTTTGCTAGGAGATAAGGAAAATGATGTAACCATGGATGTCCACTGGGTATTCTGGATTGAATGAAATCCTCCTTGTGTACCATGGGAATGGTCACAGAATAAAAATTCCAGATGGGCTAATCATAACACATTTACTGAGGTTTCAAACTGGGACATCTGGGAGAAAAACCATAGAGCAAAATGCTAAAAAGAAAACGTACATTCATCCTAACTGGGGATGGCTCTTACCTCGGAGTGGCCAGAGCTCCTTACTGAAGGGAAATGCCGTCTTCATTTGACCAGCATTAATTAATGACAGGATTTCCCAGCCAGTCCACACTTGGACTTGAAGGTGAGCTCATGAAGCTACCTCTTGGGCATGAGGAGGGGTCTCTTGGGGAGCCTTGTCCCTGGAGAAGTGCATTGTGGAAATCTCTGGTGCCTGGGTGAGGCTTCATAGTGATATTCACTATTTGTCTTCATTAATGTTTAAATTTGTTGTATGGAGAATAGAGCTGACCTTGAACTTGCTCTCTGTGCCATCTACAGGTATTGGGATGAGAGAGGCTTCTCCTGCTGCTGAAACCATCTTTATGCTTTGCATTTAATGTAAACAGTGTGTTTAGAAATGTATTGTCTGTGGCAGATCTGACACCACAACCAAATTCTTTAAAATAAAATGTTTAGGGGGAATCGTGTGTCAACTGCCTAGCACTGAAATGTATGGAATGGAATTAAGCAAATCTTTTCTTAATTAAAAAATGAAAATGGATTCTGAACTTTATCTAAGGGTCACTTTGGGATGATTTTTAGACAGAAAAAATCTTGGCTTTCTGGCAGAACAGCTGTGAGGGAGTGTTCTATTCATTAGAACACAATTTGTCCAAGAAAATATGTTCCAAGTCCTAATCAATTTAGATGAAAACTTGCTGGACAGGGTTCAAGCAGGCCAGTTATGGAGTCTTATAAAGCCAAACCCACATGTCTCAGTGGGCAAGAGGCAAGATAATCTTAGCTTACAATGGAATGTTTAAATTTATACAGCAAAGACACTGACATAGGCACAAGGGTTGGTTCTTTTGTGTTTGGTTTTTGTTTTTTTTAACCAGAAACGTGTGAAGAATCAGAATTTTTAGAGAGAGGGAATATCCCTTTAAGATATAATCACTCAGGATGAATGGACTGTGGCCAGATTCATCCTTGCTCTAGCGTCTATAGAAAGATTTCTGGAAAAGACCAGCTTCTGAAGCACTAGAAACATAGGTGTGCCTCCAAATGAAGGTCCTTGGCATCACACGCTCTTGCAGAGTTTTATAATTCCCAGCTGTATGAGGGGTTTTTTTTTGACAAACTGCTTCAGCAGTGGAAATTCAGCAGTTTGGAGAAGCTGTTGCACGGTTAGCCCTTGGGAAGGTGACAGCATGCACAGCATTGTTCAGTGGTTAAATGCACATTCTTTATCGTGGCACATCCCTACCGAGCACAGAAAACCACAGGCTAACACACCCCCAGCCTTCCTGGTGTTAATGGTAGCTATTTTAGGGTCTGCTTCTCTGTCATTCAGTTAGTTTCTTCATTACTGCAGCTAGTGTTTCATGATAAAAAAGGGTGCTTAAATAACTTTGAAACAATGCATTTGCTGAAAATTCCCATAGGGGTGAGATAGAACCTGAGCAATCTTTAACCTGGGGAATATTTCATTTTTTAATTTGAAGTGGTTTTCTACCTTGCAGAGTCTTAGCTACGGTTAATGTCCACCACAAACATGAATCAAGTGTGTCTTTCACAGTAACTGTCCATGCTTCATAGAAAACCATAGCGAGAAGCTGATCTCTGAAGTGGCAGCTTATATTCGCCTCTTTGCTGATGAATCCTCTGCTTTCCTGCATCTGTTGCTGGGAAGTGACAAATACACCATTTCTCTTCTCTCGTGACTCTCTTCTGGCACTTGAAGGCCTTCACTAGTTTCAGGGGGGGGAAAATAAGTTCATTCTAGCTGTAACTGGCTCTACACCATAGGGCAGTCCCTCAGTCCCAAACTTGTTACTCACTAGCCTTCTCCTATCCAGGGACTGAGACCTGAGTCAGGAGCTGTCTTTTCTCATCATGACTCTGTAATTTCAAGGGGTAGCGAAACACCCCTTCTGTCAGTCCTCCTCCTTCTCCTCCTTTGTCCAACAGCACCATCCACAACACCACCCATGCACGTGCATCCACCCTCTTGACTCGATCTGAAAGAGAAGGAGCATACAGTATGATTAAGCAATTTGTGGTTAAAGTCGCAAACTCTGGAGACCTCTTGACTACTGTAAATGCCAGCAGTTCGTTGTCCCACAGCCTCTTCCTTCCTTCACACCCCGCTCTGCCAAGTCAGCCACCTGAGACCCTGCTTACTGCTCTTGTTTTCCCTGGCTTTCTTCACTTGTTTACTTAGAAATCTCTTTCCCTCCCCTTCCCTCCATTTGAATTTCTTGCAGGAGGGTCTTATAAGGACACCTACTTTTATCAGAATTTCCTGTGAATTAATAGGCAGCTTTTTTTGAGGCTTATGTGTTTTGAAATATAAATGTAATCATTTCTTAATTGCCACTTTCCCAAACTGCTTTAAAACAAACCCTTTTCTTACAGAAAGTGGTTTTAAAGGGCCAGTTTAAAAGACAGACTCTGTACTGTGGAGGAGGAGGGGTACTTTGGATGCAGCAGGACAGCCTGTCACCCAAGGGAAAACAGCCGACATGCTGCTGAAGCTGGCTGCATATTTTCGTTTCAAAAAGCACTCCAGACTAAAACCACCTGTGAGTTAGTCTAGCCTCTCCAGCTGATTTAGTAGGGCCTGGTGCAGAGTGTCCTGTCAAAAGGCACACTTATTTTCATAAGGCAAATGAATCAGTTTTTATGTGGCACAGTGACAGCTCATTGGGATGAACTCATTAAAACCTTGTAAAACAAACTGTAAGTGAGAGGTACAATATTTCATTATTGAAACCTGCAGAATTGACAGGCGTCCTATGGAAAAGTGAGTCATATTGTCTGTGGTACATTCTGTTCATTCTGTTATGATAAACATGGGTGTTTGTTTGCTGAGTCCATTAGCATCCAGCTATAAACTTGATTAGGAGGACATGTTCCTCAGCCCACTGCTGAGTTTATGTGTTCACTGCTGTTTGGTTGCTGTGTTGTATAACAGTACCAGTCATGTCAGACTGCCATGCCAAAAGGAAATAACAGCACTTTCCTCATTTCTTTCAAATCCATCCTGAATTTCTATTAAAGACATCAAAGCAATTACTCTAATACTTTCCATGCTTTCCGAGCGACTCATCTTTTAAAGAAACTACTGGAAAATAAGGCACAACCAAGGTTCCTTAGTTTCAGGGTTTGAAACTTTTAAGAATCTCATGGAAAAAAAGTCAAAATAAGAACCACAAACCCATCTTCTCATGAAGCTCTCCTCCATATTTTATATATTAGTATTGATTTCTGTGCTACCAATTGGAGTTGGTTTTACAATGCCAGAAGATAAAACAGGTCATTAGTCTATTAGCGACTGCAGAAGGTAAATTAGCTGACCAAATGTGGTTATTGCTCCTGTTGTTGGAAGACAACAGCCAAGAGAATGACTTTTAAATAGGATGATGGTTGGCTGCATCTAGAACCAGCAGTAAAATAAGAGCTTGTCTGCTGGAAACAAGGGGACTTCTGGGAAGGAAGTTTCTATGCAGGATAAGTAGCACTTTGAAAAATCTAACTTTTGTCCCGTTATAAGAATGGGCAAGGTCTCCAAATTTTTAAATGTTTGCTGCATTTCTAACAACTGTAGATGGGGCAGGAGGGATTGGTGCTGACTTCAGCAGGAAGAGAGCTGGACATTAGCCATGGGTTAGAAACTTGTTGGGTTATAGCTTGAAGCATTCTATGTTTCCATAGAATGACTTGCTCACTACAATTACTTGTCTGATGCAGTGCTCCAAGGAAGTGAGGTTACTATCCTACAACTCCTGAAAGGAAGGGCTGAGGACAGGGAGCATCCCCTGTCTAGCTCTGACATGTAGGCATTCCCAGCTTCTGGGGTGCACAATGGTACCCTTAAGACTGTTTGTTTTGCTGACCTTTTTTCTTCCACATTCTGTTCATACGTCGAGGGCGCAGCAACACGCTGTTTCAGACTCTCTATAGTGCAAGAGGAACCCGTGCAAAAAAACTTTGCAGTAACAAGCACCATAAGACTGCAGGCAAAATAACTGCTTCACTCCTCAAACTGAACCTACCATGGGGTACTCATGTAGGAAAAAAGGAATCTTTTGCCTTTTTCCTCTGGCAAATATCTGGTAGTAGCTTTTGGGATGCTTTCTGCCCTGATAATAACTTCTTTTTTTAATTTTCTCTTCAAGTTATCCAATTGCTAAAGTCCATTCCTTCTTTTCAGTTCCATTTTACAGGTGTTTCTAGTAGTCCAGGAGAACTGTGTATTGTTCCTCCTCAGAGCCTCCTCGTACCATCTTTTGTTGAGGCAGAGAAATGCTTCAGAGCCATGTCAGTGCTTTTCAGCATGCAGCCACATGGACAAGCCAGCTCCAGGAGCTACAGGTTCCCAGAAAGCCACCTCCCATCCCACAGCGAAGCAGAAGCTGAAGACTCTCCTCACCCACTGCAGCCTCTCACCTTACCTCGTGAGTCATGTGTCGCAGGAGGGCATCTCTTAACTGTAAGGGGGATGTTTAATAAACCTGAGATTTCTTAATATTTAGATGTTCACAGTTGTTCACAAAAAGTAAAATACACAGTCCAGCATGATCAGCTACATGCTGGGAAAAAATACACAGCACTGTACTCGAGCAGAGCCAGGATCTCTGTGGGTTCTCTGGCAGGAATGAATGGTTGGCATCGTATTTTTCTAGGTAAAATACAAGAAGTTTATCTAGTAATAGAGCCTGTTGAACCTAGAGCAGCCTGAATTCTTGTAACACCCCCTGCATGCACATGCCTGTGTTGCAGGTGGAAACACTACATTAAGAAACGAAGAGTGACTTAGAAGCATGGAATAGCTTAGCTTGGAAAAGACCTCTAAGATCATCGACTTGATCTGACTTGATTTCTGCTATTTATCCCTTACTATTCCCTGTCCCTATTAACTGTCTTGTTATTGTGGAAATTGTCACCCTGTGACCACATGGCTGAAGTGATTTTTTCTTTTTCATTTTTTTTTAACCTACTCTCCCTGGAGAAAGGTATACTGTGCATGTGTAGGAGCTTAGACTAAAGCAGGGAATGTTGGAAGCTGCAGGTCCCGGTCTTTGCTGTGCTGGCTCCTGATGAGGCATGGATGTGTAAAGCTGTTTGGTATGTGCTGTTGCAAGAAATACATGTGCAAACATGATGAGATATCTGCGGGTACAGGAGCATCTCCTTGGGAACTCCAGTGTTTGGTTTGCTGACAATATTGCTCCAGTGAAGCAGCTTTTAGTTTCTTTCTACCTCAGTTTGTTTATCTGTAAAATGGAAATAGAGAACTTCCTAGAGAACCCAGAGCTACATTGTTAATTACTCATAGCTTTTGCATACCCTTGAGGAGAGTATAAGCTATAAATCTCTGAAGCTACATACCAACATTTCTGTGGTTTAAGCATCAGGGGAGCCCCTTTTCCAAAGACACTGCTGTGTTCTCCTGGCTATGTGTTCCATGGCAAGCCTGTGTTTGGCCCTTGGCATGTAGAGTCTCGGCACCTCGACCCCACAAGCCCTTTCTGTGTGCACAGCCAAGTGTTTCTGCAGAGCCTGTCCTGCTGGGGGCTGTAGGGTGGAGCTGGGAAGGTGCTTGTTGTGTGTGCTGTGCTTCAGAGGTGCTGAAAGCAGCATCTTGTAGACCTGAACAGTCTGCCAGGGCACAGTAGTGCAGTGGCCCTCTCCCAGCACCAGCACAGCCCTTACCCGAACCAGGGCCAAACACTGCACACAGGGCCAAGCACTGCTGGGACTGTGGGCATGCACAGAGCCTCCCAAACAGGCTGGAAGGTCAATCAGGTCATCCCGTGCCTCTTGGTAACAGCCCCCAGTGCTTTACCATCGGCTCCTTGGAGACTGTGACATTTGAACTTACCCTGGCTGCCCCAGCACAGGGAGGTCAAACAAATTAAATTTCTCTTCAAATTAGCAGTATGTGGCTTTGATCACTGTCCATTTGAGACTGTGTGTGTTTTAGCTGGAAAAATGCATGCCACGTTCCAGCCACCTCCTCCAGCCAGGGGAGCCGTGATGCCCCTGGCAAACGCGTGCGCTCGCTGAACGTTACTGAGCTGGAGAGTTATCACTGAAGCGTGTCCTCCTCTGTCCAGAAGGATCCCAGTTCACTGGGCCTCTCTCTTACAGATGTTAATTCCTTCCTACTATCTTTACAAGTTCTAACAGAATAGTAAGCTGCAGTAAAGAGAGGGGATATGTTCAATTTAAGCAGCAAGATTACTATGTTCTGAATAAAGCTGTATTTATTAATGATTACCTCTGTGCCATGACTTTAAATTCAAACAGCTGGACAGCCTCTGCTCTTTATTAATTTCCTTGGATCTTTGGCACGAAGCCCTCAATTCCTGTGATGTAATGGTATAAAAAGTTGGCTCCTGCCCAAGCTTCCACCCACAAGTTCTAAATTTGGAGCATGGCAAATTTCTGCAGATTCCAGAGACAGGCTATGCTCAAGACGTGCCGATGCCTTCAGTCCCATCCTATTGCACCAAACAACAAGATTGTGTGCTTTTTATAACTGGGATCATAAATATGACTCAGATGCACATGTTGTCTATGTAAGCACTTGGGGTTGGCTATCACTTTATGGCACTGGGAAGAAGCCAAGCCAAATAAAAATTGTTTTGAGTAAATATTACATTTCTAGAGCATGAATAACTTTTCTCTGCAGCCAACGTGTCACTAATGGGAATAAGGAAGAAGACGGGGTGGGGGGAAAACAGTAACTAAATCATCCCACTAAACACAGACTGTCTGCAGCAAGACCTGTTGTTTCGACTCGACTGGGGTGTAATATCCCAGATAATTCCTAGCAGGTCTCAGCAAGGACATGAATGATGGAAATAAAAATAGCTATATAGCTCAGTGCCATCCTGCTGCACTGCTCTCTTTTGGGTGGGATCTCCATCAGTGGTATGTAAAACAGGCAACCAAAGAACCGAGTGTCCTTCTCTCCCCCACTCCCAAATGTGCAGAGGCTCAAGCATGTGGATTGCTCCATGGAGATCGGTGTTGCTACTCACATGCTCAGCACTAAGCATGTGCACATGTCTGTCCAGGATCTGGGCCAAAAGGAAGGATGAGTTTTTCATCCTGTACCTTTGGGACCCCGGGGGTGTTTGCATTGCAGAACACAGGGAAATAGAAAATGAGCCCACATGCAGCTTTGTGCTGCTGTACCAGAAGAAAGCAGCTGACTGGCAGCTCTACGAGGCAGGGATATGCCATCCCACCACAGGCAGGACCACTGCATGCCTGCTGGCTCTACTCCAGCTCTTGCAGCAAGCTGATAAATCTCAGCATCCCCTCACCGCCCAAAACCCCAATTACTCCTGCCCTTGAGTAGGAGCAGCTTCACCTACCTGAAATGCAAAGGAAATAAAAAAAAAATGCTCTTTCTGCAGGGCATTTTCAGGAAACATCCCCTGATAAAAGGAATCTTCAAGTGTCTCAAAAATAATAACCAGATAGAAATAATACGTGAGAGTCTAGCTTTGAAAATCATTAGAGCCTTTCCCATTTTCCTAATGGGCACATAATCCTGAGTAGTGCATTCCTTCCCATTGCACCTGTGAGCTTTTACATATCAGATAACTGCTTTCCTGAACTTTGTTGTCTTTTCCTTTTTTATAGGCTTCTTTCAGATAGCAGGCAGAAAGCCTGGCTTTAAAAGAGTTCAGACAGGAAGCAGCAATGTTCCAGGAGGATTTCTGAGTCCATCAGAAGAGCAACTGGCTTCTCAAAGTGTGGATTTCAGAGATCCCTAAAATATTTGGCTACACTGTCGGAACAGGTGAGTGGGGAGGCGTCAAGAGCACTTGACATTCTCATGTCCCAGCCGTCCCTATCAGAAGGGTTTGAAGAGCTGTTCTGTGCAGTGGGCTGGACTGGGGCTTGCAGATAAAATGTTTTAAGGGCTGTGAGTCCTGCAATAACCACAGCAGTCTTGACGTCAGCAGACCTGTACCTCCAGGAATTAGTTCTGAGAAATCAGTGCTGGTTTGCCCAGCTAAGGCCGTTTTGACTGTGTTTGAAGGATCTGGGTGATAAGTCCTTTTTCCATGCCTTGCAAGCTGCCAGTGGTCATTTTCTGCCAGAAGAGCAGCCCAAGCAGTGTACAAGGGACTGGCTTTCTCCCCTTTGTAATGCATTTTATGATTTGGAGAAACATTTGTAATGCAAGAAAGTGTTTTCACATATTAGAGCTTCTAAGTTGTTAGAACAGTTGGAAAATCCTAATTGCCTTTAGAAGTCAAGAAAAAAAAAACAGCAAAGAAAATATTTTTGGACTGAGAATTAACAAAACTGAGAGCTAAAGATTAGTTTCCAAGATCAAAAATATGTTCAGGGAGTCCCGTTGTACTTGTGAGTTTAACACAAATACTTGAGCCTTTAAAAAGTGATTTGCACCTACCCCCAAACTTGTTGCTCTGAGTTGCAGAGCTTAAGCTCTGAAAACTCTCCAGAGATGTAATGTCGAGGTTGGTCATGTTTAGATTTACCCCAGGATGTTTCCAGAACTCCGCATGCACAAAGGAGGGGAAAACCTACCTGGGATTGATTTAGAAGCCTGAATGAGAGGTGACAAAAGGGGGCTTGGCAGGAGTGCTGGCTTAATTTTCCTGAAACTATGTGGGGTTTCGCTCCAGTTAATTAGACAGTTGAAGGTTGTTCCAATCTGCAGTTCTTTCCCAAGGCTCAGAGGAGGTTTTCTGACTGCCAGGGATGAGGCGTATAGGTGGAGGTGACCCTGCAAGGGCCTGGCAGGGGCTGGTGCCGGGGGTTCTGGCTGTACAGGATTTGCCCTGGTACACATGGCCCTTCCCAAGGCCTCTTACAGCAATCTGATTTGCACCTTGTGGACACAGTTTCAGGATATCACTTAAAGAGCCCTCTTTTCAAGGACAGCTTCCTATTTTGCAGATGTCTCTGTGCTTTTTTAATGGGTAAACATCGCTCGTGTTTCATCAATGGACAGCTGAGGCATAAGGAGGTTAAGGGACCTGACGAAGGTGATAGCAAGTCAAATTGTTTGGAATTTTCTAGCTCTGACATATCATCTTTCTAAAGCAGGAAACCCTCTCAGGAGTAGTAGGTTTTCATTAAAACAACAGTTCGAACCTGTCGATCTCGATATATCAGGAGAAAGAGGAATGTAGAAAATGTGAGAGGTAGCTTAGCCTCTCTTAAACTAAACCACCAGGTTCACGTTCCTATGGAGAAACAAATACCCTGCAGGCATCATGGTGTCTTTGATTTATTTTTGGAAGTCGAAAACTCCTCCTTTTGGTGTCTGAGCTAAGAAAAAACCGAGGATTTTGTGGGCCAACAAAAGTTTTCTGGAGGAAAAAAACCCCTCCAGTTCCACTTCTCAAGGGCTTATGGCATGAGCAGTTGAGCTAAGGTTATCCAATTTATCCTCCCCTACATTTCAAAATTGGATTAAAGTTCGTAAGTCATTGAGGGAAACTGTTACCCAACAGAGTAACTGTATGAGTCTCAAATTAGTGTGTCAGGCCTTTGCAGCGGCGGGTGCAGACCCTGGTTTCAGTCACCTGAATAAATCAGTGTGCCCAGAGCACAGGAGGGAGCGAGGTGCAGGTCGGTGAAGCCCCCCGAGCTGTGATGACTGGGTATGCTGACAGCCTTGTCCGTCATCGGCCTGGTCCTCCCTCTCTTTCCTTTTCTTTGGTGAGATAAGTCATCCCAGCCCTAGGAAGAGGTTTTGGCTCGGTGCTAGGTGTGGGTTTTTCCTCCTGCCGCAGCAGTGTGCTGCTGCACGTACACAAAGTGACGCGGCTCCAAGCGTGCGCCCGGCTCAGCTGTGCAACACCCGCGCGGTGCCGCATCCCCGCGAACCCGCCCCCCAGAGCAGGATCCGCAGATGTGATTCATTAGGAGCCTGCCGAGCAGGGCTGTGCTCCCCGGGCTCTCCCGGGCCGTGCGGCGGTGTCCGGCTGCCATCTGGTGTCCGGCGCCCGGGGGGGGCCCGCGCATCTCCCGCCACCGCGGGACAGCCCGAGCTCAGTGGCATCCCCTGGGCTACGGCCAAGCCGTGAGCAAATCCTGCCCAGACTCCCCAGGGCCCCCCGCCACGGTATCTCCCGCATTCCTGCGGCAGATCTGGTATTTCTTATTGTTCTCCCGGTCTCTGGGGGAGCAGCTGCCGCTGCCTCGCTGGCCTGCCGGGGTAGGAGCTGGCGGGGCCCTGGGCTGCGGGTTCCACGACTCGCCAGGGGCTTTGGAAAAATCGTGTCAGTCTTCTCGCCCTGCTTCGGCATGTAGGGACTTGGGGCTCATCAGGAGGGGCAAGATAAAAATTAGAAAAGAATGGAAAACTGGAAGAGCAGCGAGCGGTCGTGCAGCATCGCTCTCCCAGGGGTGGTGTGGGCTCAGCACACGCTTCCCTGGGTCTGGCACACACTTCCCTGGGCTGGGCACAGGCTGCCCTGAGCTCAGCACTCACCCGAGAGCTTTCTGCTGAAGTAGTTGAGCCAGCCTGCAGCAACACAGCACCTCAAATTTGCTGGGTGGGAAATGCCCCTAACTGGGATGCTGGCGGGCACAGGGACACCAGTAGCAGGGACTGGTCAGAATGGGGTGAGGGGAGAGGCAGACACAGAGATGTTCTCAAAGCTGGATGGGACCAGTTTGTGCTCTGCACCGACAGCAGAACTGCTGGAGAACAGCCTGGCCCAGCAAGGGTGTTGGGCACCCGGTGTTGTTTTCTTGTTCCCTCTTCCTCTGGTGAGCTGCTCTGCCAGGCTGGTTCTTGTACCATGCCTGCGCCGTTCCTTGAAATACGATTTCAAGGAATATATGCTCTGGATTTTCTCCTGCTGTCGGGGAGGATTTTCTGGCTGGAGGTGATCTGAGCAGCTGTAGGTTTGGCTCTTGCCATCTGAAATGGTGACAGTGAAGGGAACATGCTGGAGCACAGGCAGGCAAGTTTCTTTTGTGAGCAGGGCCACGTGCAGCTATACAGTGAGAAAGACTTGGGGTGATGGGTGTTTTGGGCCAACCATCTTCCCAGGAAGCTTCATGGGCCAGCAGCGACCCCCTTGGGCATCGTACAACCCTCACAGGCAGGCAGTAGCCATGTTAAAGCAAAGCAGAAAACACAGAAGATGCCACCTCCATCCCCACAGGGAGCAGCCACACCACTCAGCTTTTGGTGGGGCCTGTATGTGAGCAGGCCATACCCTGCCTCCATCATTTCCCACCTTCTGCCTGGGAAAAAGCAGTCCAGGGCCAACACAATCTTTCTGTCAGGGAGGGAAAGCCTGGCTGCAAAACAGAGCATGCTTCTCCCTCATAGGCAGATGTGGTAGTTGACTGTGTGTCTGGGAGAGATTAAAATGGCCCAATGCATCACTGGCAAAGGAGATGGTTCAGGAAACACAACCTTGGGCAGCAACAAATGCAAAATTTCAGTCCCAGTTATGCTGTGAGAGGGACTTCGTAAAGGTGGCTAAGCAGAGTCTGACCGTAAGTAGATTTTTTAAGTTGTTTTTTAAAGTTGGTTTTTTTTTTTCTTGTTTAGTCAGGACTGAGGAACCAGCACCCCAGAGGACCTGCAGCTCCCCAGCACTCACACCTTGAGTCAAGGCTGAGCTACACAAGCCGCTTCAGAATGGAAAGAGAAATCCCCGTGCTCTGGTAGGCACTGAAACAACTAATCAATGTCAACACCAAGGAAGTCCAGGCTGCTTTTGAAACTGTCTCATGTCTATGCTTGAGTTTTTAATCCCATCTGAGATGCTAATGTGTTCAAATTAGACTTGCTGGCCAAGGTAGGTGAAAGGACACGGGCGCCTTGTGCAACTGTGGGCGAGATCTGCCAACGCAGACCTGTGCAAATCACCTCAAACATCCCCACAAACACCCTGGTAGGTTCCCCGGGGTGAAATCTGTGTTGCCTGAGCAAATCGCTGTTGTGTGCTCAGAAAACAGGCGACAACAGGAATAACAGCGAGTGTTTGCATGAAGACATTTTTAGGCCCAGATCCTGTCAAAACTGTTTGTGTGCCGTAGCCATGGCAAGTAGCTCTACTAATTAGCAACGATATTAATAACAGAGAATAAAGCTGGTGCTAGATCAAGCTCCTTTGGTAGGTGATGTGAGCAATAAGCACATTGAGTAGGATAGAAAGGGTTATTTTTTTTGTGGTTTTCTCATTTATTAATGAATTTAAAAGAACAGTTGATGGGGAGAAGTGAGTGCAGTTGTTATGGAGGTTGTGATTTCTTTTTTTCTTTCTGTCAACGTTCTGCCCAGTCTGCCATGGGCTTTCCTCTGACCCGCTGCTCATATCCTTTTACATTTCCTCTGTCAAGTAGGCTAAAATATGAGAAGAAAAAAAAGCAGAAGGGCTTCCAGGGCTGTGTATACAGGTGTTAAAAACCGCCTCATTAAATCTCCCTCTCAAGGCTTTTCAGGATGTTTTTAATCTACTGTTTTGCATCATACTGGTCCAATTTTAATTTCTTTTGGAGGTGAGAAGCAGTCACCTTTTTCCAAATCTATTTTCGTCTTATGTGTTAAAACAACCACTGGCATTTCCTTTTTCTGAAGGATGAGTATTTTTGACGTACCCAGAAAGCCAGTTCATAAAACAGTGCTTTTCTGCACTTTTGCTTCCTGGCATTTCCAAGTAATTGAAGTTCACAGTGAGACTCAATGTGTGGAAGTCACATCAGCCTCTGAATTCAAGTAGTGTCACAAATTTCTGTTTGCATTTTATTTTGGACCTCATGGCCACATTAGCACTAGCAGGAGTCCTCAAGATATGATGTTTGTATAGCTGCTCACCCTGCCAGGTGGGGAGCTCCAAAGTGTTTCAAACCATGGGCTGATATCCCCTCCTCCTAACACCCACCCTGTTTGTGGTTTGAAGGGATGAGTCTGAGTCCTGCTCTCAAAAGGGGAGTACGTGATGCTGAGCACATCCTCCTCTCAGCCCCAGTCTTGCAGCCTCGGGGCATGTGTAAGAAGCACCTGGAAAAACACTGTTTGCAGCTAAGGAAACTTCCTTACCCATTTTTTCTTGCTCTGCTTTACTGCCATTAAGAAAGCTCTATGGCAGCCCAAGCTTTGCCTGCAGGTGTGAGATTGCTGGATGCTGTATCCAACTGTACACGTTGTCCTTCTGTGCTGCAGTGGGGGTTTTCAGGGAAAACATGCATGACTTAGCTCCAAGGCTTTGAGCCTAAATTTATCCTAAGCCAGTGGTAACATTCATAAGATCTTTTTTTTCCTAGGCTGATGGGATGTCTCTGGGATCAGGCATGCTGAGCTAAGAGAGGAGCTGAACTGGCGCATGAACCCAGGGACAACAGGGAGGTGTGTGATGGTGGTGCAACAGGAGACCTGGCTCACAGTGCTTTTCCCTGCACTCCCTGCTGCGGGGGAAAGGAGAGGAAGAGTGTGTGTCCCGGGACATCTCCACAGGTAGGGAACACCGCAGTAACGAGGGTTGGGGACGCTGAGCTGGGCCACCACGAGGTGGCAGCCGGAGCCAAGCGATGAGGAGCTCCGGCCCGACGTGTTCCTGCCCCAGACCCCTTGGTGTTCCTGCCCTGGGAACTCCGGGGACAGCCAGGCGGGGGGCGTCGGGGGCGCGAAAAGATTTATTTTAAAAAGCAAACAAAAGAGAGCCACAATTATCAAAAAACCAGCATGGTGCCGACAGAGTTGGAAAGTCCCGAAAATCTTGTTAAGTGTTGAAGGAATTTGTCATTCTCTGAGAGGGGACAAGTGTGCGGCAGAGTAGAGTGTAGTACTGCCTCCTTTCTGTGCCCTTTCCTTTGGGAACAAATAATGACCTCTCTCCCCGAATGACTTTATGGATATCCCCTTTCCTGGCCCTGCACTGGTTTGCTCAAAAATTTTTTACTTAACTGCTTCACATATTTGAGATAAAAATCAGAGCAGTTATTTTCAGTTCACTTTTACTGAGATAGATGATGCAGCTCGTGTTCTAGGAGGCCTGTGTGACTAAGCCATAGGATCACAGAATGGCTTGGGTTGGAAGGGACCTTAAAGATTATCTCATTCCAACCCCCACCCCCCCAATGAACAGCTACAAACAGTTACTGCTTTGTGGGGTTGGGTCCCCCCATCAGCCCCAGGATACGGATTCTATCCTTAGACACTCTTTCTTTTCCCCACATGGGCTTTGCTTTTGTGGATGTTCATGCAGGACACTGAAACAGAAGTAACATAAGTTGCTGGAAACTGGCCTGTTAGTTTGGGAATGTGTGATTCACTATGCACAGCTCATAGATCAACTCCATAAAATGATCACAGGGCAAAAAAAACCATCCCATCCTGTTTTTAGAGGGAAAAGCATGGTACTGTGGTATTAGTTTGCAGGACTGTTCCACCAGCAGCAGGTAAATTAAACCTGAATCTGGTGAACAAGGGAAAGCCGGCTGAGCATTCCCAAGGGTTTAGGAACAGCAGCCACAGCTTTCCACTGGCCTCTGCATGGCTAAGCCCAGGGTGTAGGTAAGGCTTCCTGGGGCAGAACAGAGCTACCCCTAGTCCTACAGTTCACTGAGGATATCCTCACCATTAGCAGGCTCGTTGGTTTGTTGGAATAGCAGAGCTGGAACCCTTGGCCTCACCGGAAATGATACCACAACGGGATGCAGCTTCCCATGCTCACTGTTCCATGAGCTGTGGTGACTGACTCACAGCTCTGTGCTCCCTTTGAACGCTGTTCAGTGTCACTTTAAGGGGCTTAGTCTAAAGCGGTATTTTTGCTCAGAATGCAAATGGTTTAATTTTTAAACCAACCTCTCCCCTACCTTTAATGTGCAGTGCTTCACACAAAGCTTTCTTAATTTGTCAGAGCAAGCAGGGCCGACAAAGCTAAAAGGAAACTTGTCTCATTTCCTCTTCTAGCAGTGAGTAAGAGCTGACTCCAGACAGACATATGGGGCTGACATGTCCCCCCTGACGGGCTGTTGTGTGTGTCTGTGCCCAGGTGCCTCTCGCAGCAGCCGTGTTCCCGTCAGCTCCTGCTGAGCCCTGCTCTGCCCTTGTCCCAGGTTCCCATTCCAAGGTTCCTGTGCTGCTCTAGGCACAACAGCTGCATCAATTCATTTCCCTCCTGGCATCCTTGTCTTTCAGAGACAGCTAAACTGCACCCTCCAAATACTGTTCCTGAGCAAGGCTGGCTGCCAGAGCTGAGCACCATGATGCTGTACCAAGGTGTACTGAATACAAACATGTAAGAGAAGCAATGCTGTTAAATTATATTTGTGTTATCTGTGTGACCACTGCCTCTATTACAGCTTTAATCTACATCCCATTGATCCAACCATTAAACCTTTTCCATCAAAGTAATACTTCCACACAACAGTTACTGGATTTTGAACACCAGTAACCCAAAAAAAACCCAGGCGAAAAGACACTAATTAATTCCAAAATGTAAATGACTTTATATTACTTTATTAAACAGCCAATTCTAAAGAACAGTAAAAAATATCAAAACATGCATCATTTGGTGTTCTTAAAAAACAGTTGTCCAAAATAAAGACCGTTAGAAAAATTAAACAAGTTTAGCCCCAATACACCTTTTGCTCTCCACATAAAAGATATTGGTAGTTATAAATACTGTTCCAGCTCCTTTAGCAAAGTTTAACCACGTGCACATTAGTATTTCTATTACAGTTGGATGTTTTTTTTCTTCACAATGCTTCTGTAAACGTGATCAATGTTTTTAAAAAAATGCCTTGTTATCAAGCTTAAGGAACTATTGTTTTCCTGTACAGTAAGTACAAATACAAAGATCCTGGATTTTCGTGCCATTCTAATTAGCACTCTATTTACTGAATCATTAAAGATTTCAATTAGTATAAAAATATAACCGGAGAATAAATGTCTGAGAAGATTCAGTATTTGAGTGAGTCTTAGTTAATAGGCAAATAAAATGGTATTGACTTCCAAATCTGGGCACCACTTCTGTACAACTTCTGCTTTTCCAAGATCCAAGTATCACAGTGCTGCACGCAAAGGCACTGCTTATCCACCTGAAAAATTCACTTCTTATTTACGAAAAATAATTTAACATGTAGCTGAACTAACAAGCAGGTGCTAAGGGATGGATGTCTGGGGTACAGGCAAAGCTGACTCAAAGCCACACCAGTGGGCACCTGCTCCTTGAGGGGGGAGTTCTCAAAATCTCTGTACAAGTTAGCAGGGATCCTGTTTTACTGAGCAATAGACAGACTTCTTGTCTGCTGTGGGAGATCTACAGAGCAAAGTCACAGAGTTGCTGCTTTTCCCTAAAGAAACAAAAATAATTGGCTCTGTCCCTGGAAAGAATTGTGAGGCAGAGCAGCGGGCTCTTTGGGAAGCTCTAGTACTAGAAACACTGAAGTTAATTTACTGACAGGAATGATTTTTTTTTCTAAAGCTGTTATTTTTACACATTTATCATTTTTATTAAAAAAAAAAAAGTGAAATTTATTTTTCCTTTTACTTTTTTTTTTAATCTGTCCTCCAATTAAGATAAAAGTGCTACATCTAAAAATGGTGGTATGTTCTAATCAGATTTCTTGCACAAACACAACCTTGATGCAGATGATATCTGGACTGTGCTACCACCTTCCATTCATTTGCTTCAGAAACCTGTGAGACAAAACTGCATCTTTTAAACTATTAAGAGAACTCTCAAGGCTTTATTTAGCACTTCTCAAGTGTGAGACAGTACAAAAACAGTCTTCAACGACTATTTTTTTTCCAAATGTCTTCCAGCAGCATTTTCTACATGCCTATTTCTAGTTCTTTTGTTTGTATTCTTGCAAACAGAGGAAAACAGGACACCAAATCCAACCAGGCAGCATGTACTGCCAGCCCACCCTCACTAAAGGATGTGTCTGAGCACTAAGCACCATGCAAAGAGCAGCAGATGGACAGAGTAGAAGGAGGCTCAGTGGAAGGAAAGGTAATGCTCTGTCTCAGAGTTGGACACAATCTCCAGGACTGACTTATCCTGGGTTTAAATTATACTAACTCAACCAATGGAACAATTGCTTCCCTCACTTTTTGGAAGGAAAGTGATGCTGCTTGATTGGTTAGCTGCTGTCAGATTGTTACAGGCTAGTACATAAACAACTCTGTCACAAGCTACATTTCAACAAAAATCTTCAGTTGAGAAGTCTTTTATAAAAGAAGAGAATTTCTGGAAACATGAGCGAGAACAAACTGCAAGTAGTGTCAGACACCACATATTGCAATTGCTCAGCTCTCAGCAGACACACTGACGTGATAAACAGTATTTCATCTGTACAAAGGCCCAACCTGCTGAGCAAACTAAGAACTTTGCAAGCGAGAGGCTGCTCTGTGCAAAGCAGGACGAGGGGAGGTGGGCTGCCATTCACAGACAACTCGTCAGCCACCGCCGTCACTCAGAAGTGGCTTTTTTCCCTTTCCAGCTCTTTTGTCTTTCCTCCAGTTCAGCTTCAGTGAAGGCAGCTGGGCCCCAGTTTGTGATTAAGTGAGGATTCTTGGAGCCTGGAAGACAGAGTGCAATACCTGAGAGGGCCATTTCTGACAGGGATGTTGCACACCCACCACAGGAGGATTTGGAAAATGCTGCCTCTTCTGTGACTGGAAACCTACTCAAAGGTGACCCAAGGACATGCCTGTCCAAGGAGGAAGGAATGCCTGGGCTGCTGTCACTGAAGGTGCTTAGTGTGAGTTGTCAACTGCTGCAATCTTTTGTATCCTTATCTCCCAACTTCCAACCCCCACCCTCAAATAGTTCTGTCTTAAGAAACCCCTCTTCTTGCCTTTAGAGGTGTCCTTGAAGAAAAGTGATCTCTCCAGAGCTGCATTACGAAGCCACTTTTCTCTGGGCTGGCATGCTATTAATTAAGCTAAGAAATTAAACTTTTTCAAAAATCAAATATTTACTTCACGGTTTTGAATGCTAACTGCATTCAACACCTACACGATGCAATGTTCAGGCTGATCCTTGCTTTGTTTTAAACATAAAAGAAACAAACAACAATAATAACGACAATAAAATCTTTATAGTAGGGCCAGTAGATGTAAAGACTTGAAAGTTACCATCAGCGGTTCTCACAATTGTGTTATTTATAGGCTGCCATGAAACCAGTAAGTCACAGGAAAAGGCAGACTTCAGTAAATCACCAGGTGATCTAAGTACCTGAGACAGAATGAATGCATATTTTTGTAACTTTTCTGCTGATAGCTTACCTGGCTCTATTAGTCGAATTAATCCCTCATGATGAGCTACTTTATCTTTCCAGCTCTTGGTGTTATTAGCTGCCGTTTCCAACTTCTTCTTAACCTCCTGAAATAAGATACAGCCTGCTTGAAAACAAGAACAACTTTACTCTGTTTATATAAAAAGATAAAACATCTTTTAAACCCAAAGCTAGAACCATGCTAATTCAGTCAGCCCTCTGTGTTAGTGAGAGCTTAATTTCTAACCATCCCAAATAATTTAGTCATCGCTGGGGAAAAAAAAAAAAAGTTGTCAAACCAGAATCCCAAAATAACTTGGTTTTAAAAGATTCTGTAGCTGTGTAAGCAGGGCTCATCTTCATAAAGACTGAAAGTGTAAACTGTAGTTTCAAAACAGGAAGATGCACTTTCTGTTCCAAACTAAGTATCTCTCACTACGAGAAATCATAAAAAAGGAAAAGGACCACTGCTCTTACACCCAAGCAAGACAGAGGCATTCTTCAGTCTAAACTGGGCTTTTGGGCAATTCCAAATGCAAGGCTAAAATGTTTAATTATTTCTATATTAATTGTTTTGTGGATTTTTTGGGGTTTTTTTTAAATGTCTATTGTATTCAGCAATTCCTTCGGAGTACTAAGTGATGTTTCGCATACAAAAAGGTGAGATGTCACCTAAAGAAATGGCAAGTACCAGTGAAAAGCAATCTAATGATGGTGTGAGATATAACACCAACATGGGAAGTTGTAAAGAGTCCACAACTACCCCACGTGGGCCCTTGTTCATGGTCACTGCAGCATTTGTATTCTGTGCCAGTCAAGAGCTCATTGGCTTGTCCTTCACAGAGCTCACCTCAATGGCAGGGAGGCCAGCATAAACACTCCCTCCAGTTAAACAGAAACCCAGCCAGGTTTTGTTTCCTGACCTAAATACATGCAGGATCAACACCTCCCCAGTCCTGGAAATTGTGCCGCACTTCAGACTCTGTACTCGCTGGATTCTGGCTCTTATTTCTTCCACAAACTGACTTCCACAGCTACTGACCTTCACCAAAAACACTCAGCAGAGCAGAGAGCAGGCCTGGCATTTGGGACAGGAGGCACTGCTACACATTGAGAATCTGAGCTTAAATGCATTTTCGAGTGCCTACAGTAACACATTGATATTTCATCTGTAGAAGACAATATTGTGCAATTACATCATCAAAACACTGCAAGAATAACTAACTCAGAAGCAAAAGGCATTCAGTTATGAGAGCAATGGGACTGCATATGAAGTGAGTCTACAGTAAAAGACAAATGCACACAGAGTGTTTCAGGATATGACTGAGCTGGCTTGTATGCAAATTGGGACAAAAATAAATAAAGGAGGTGGTGTGTCTGAAATAGGTCCTCTTCTTCAAATGTATCCACTGGTCTAGACCAAGAAAACCTGACCCAACTATACTACCTCTCATTATAATCTTCGTGCCATACCAATCCTTACAGAAGCATAACAGTGATGAACTTCAGTCAATCTGTGGATGAGAGGTTGATGCACAGAACAGCTCACCTCATACTGCTCAAGGGCCTCCTTCCTTTCCAGTTCAAGTTGTTTCAGTTGCTGCATAGCAACTTGAAGAGCCTGTTCCTTTATAATTCTCTGGTTTTCTAGCTCTTGCTTCTCTGCTTCTGTCATCTGAATGGTCTGTTGCTGCTGCAAATGCCATTTTTCCAGTTCAGCTCTCTTTGCTGACTCCTCTTCCAGCAATCTGCAATGGGGATTGTTTTGTTAACTGCACTTAAAAGTAAGTTGTATCCATTACCTAGCACACATGTATGGAAGCAAAGTTAATTGTTTATTTTCCCCTCCCTCCTTTTTTAAAGGGTAGGAATATATTGTTTATAAAAAAAGAGCTTGGGAAGCAGGGAAAAAAAATTATTGCTTGCTGGTTTGCCTTCAGCATCAAGCTGCTGATCATGCCAGCAGTGCAAGCAGTCTGACTGCTACAAAGGGCTATTCAGAAAATGTAGTCAATAATGCAAACACGCAACACAGAGCCCTAGAAGAAACAAGCATGCATAAGTTATCTTCATTGTCTTAGTACCGAATATATGAAGAAACAAACCATGGTAAAAAAAGCCCAAGTGAATAAGAGGAAACTTAACCCTTTATCAGTACAGTTTAAACCTGCCATAAAATACAGTAGAACGTCATATTTACAGTTAGTGCTTTATAAAATAAACAACTGACAAGCTTGTACAGAGTGATCTCAGTTTTCCACATGCTGACAAGCACACCACCTGATGGAAAAATAAGTGTGCCTGCTTTTCTGAAATTGCTGAGCACTCCCTCAACTAAGCACTAATCGAACATATTTAAATACCAGCTTGAGCTTTCATATCTTGAGGGAAAATAAAACCTGTGTTTTGACTTGAAGGTCATTCCAGCAGCATGTCCAAGAGGCAAACAATCATTAGTGCATGGTACAGTTACCTACTATTTGCAGGGAAGGGGTGGGGAACTGAAATACTTTTCTACCTGGTCAAAGCCATACCTGGCCTGAAGTTTCCTCACAGTCTCTTCATCTTGACGTGCCTGTCTCTCATCCTCCAATGCTTCCTGTAGTTGTTTATACATTTCTTCCAGTTCACGTACTCTTTGTAAATATTGTTCCAGTTCAGATGATTTCTGAGCAACCTGCTCTTCCATCTTTTGCCTTACCTAGCAGCATAAATTGGGGACACATGAGCTAACATTCAGCTCAGGGTTCCAATTTTTAAAGGAATTGCCAGGTTTCCCTCAGATGATGTTTTCAGAGACAAACCTTTTCCTGCCGCCTGCAGAGCAGAACTGTGGCTAGAATTGTGGCTAGAACTGTAGATGTGTAACTAAGAGCATTAAAAAAAAAAAAATTAATATTACAAGTTACTTATGTTGCCCTACTTCCTGCAGCACAGGATTTTTACAGGAGGTTCAAACCTAACTTTGGTCAGTTTGATCTTCTTGCTTAGTTTACAGATACACACTAAACTGAAGGAAGAGAAAGCTTGCAGAGTGGCCAGACACAAAAATCAGGCTGATTTAGTAACAGTTTCCACTCCCTTCCTCAGGCAAGTCCTCCCTTGGCAGCAGTGTATCTCACACACGTGTCTGGATGATGGCACCACATCAGCAAAGGACTGGAAAACAGCTAAGGAGGTTGGCTCTGCTAAGAGAAGAGCCACTACAACAAAGAAAGGTAAGGGACGGAGGAAGGTGAGGGAATGCTGCATATCCTCAATCCCCCAGTCTCTGATCCTTATCATCCTTCTTTCACGGACCAGAGAGTGAAACCAGGAGCCTGTGACTCCCACAGAGGCCATTCCTGTGCTGGGTCAGCAGGAGGCAGCTGGGATAAAGCACCAAGCCCTTGGCATTTACCAACACAAGGCATGTCCTGCATAGCCCCGACAGGCTACAGTCACGCGTCGGAGGGTGGCATGTCCTGCCCCACTGCTCTGCAGTCTGCTTTCCCTCAGCTAACCGAAATCCCAGTGACCCAGAAAGTGATTGCATTCAGGAATTCACACTCACCCATAAAGCAGCACTGTGTGCATTTATGTCCTGAGATGTCCCATCACACTGACTTAACAATTTCTGCTTCTTTTCTCCAGATAACAGAAAAACTCATTATGCCTGACAAAGCCCTTGAAGATTGAGAACTAGTTCTTTTGGAAATTCCCAGTGTAGGTTAATAGCAACTTTACTTTTTATATTTGTGTGTGTGCATAAATGTAAAAGGACACAGCATAAAAAAGCAATAGTTCTGGGAATATATAAAATGCATTTTGATTATGCCTGATTCATTTTGCATATTCATACAGCACGTACTGGCCTCAGGTTCTCCGTCTTTGAAAACTCCAAAAAACTCAGCCTGCATTTATCCTTCGAACAGTCAATATTTTTCCCAGTTTTCCAGTAACACTTAAGCCTTGGAAGCTATACAAATTGTAGCCAAGCTGTGCCAGTATTTGAATTCACCAGTAAAAATATTTTAGTCCTACATCTCTAGCAAATGCAACACAGGTTGCATTCTCCAGCCTCCAGCAAAATCTGTGGAATCTTTTCAGTGGCTCCTGTGAGGGAAGCCCTTGCTGCAGGCACGGCTCACTGTGTGTAATCATAGCAAAAACCCACGTGCTCTGCTCACCATTTTTTCTCTCTCCAGCTCCAAACTGAAGCGATCTTGTAATTCAACTTGAGTCTGAAGTCTTTTCTTCTCCTCCTCAGCAGCACGAGCAGCTGCTGCTTCCAGTTGCTGGAAGAGAAGGGTGTGAGGTGGGGGAGGAAGAAAAGGAGGACAAAAACAATTTGTCAAAGCTAAAACAAAAATGGAAGAAACCTTCAAACGCATTAAGGCACCATTGTGGGGGGTTTTTTAATGTCTGACACTCTTCTCAATGTCTAAATATAATTTTCCATCTTGTTTATTTGCATGACAATTTGAAATTTATCAATGAAAAGGTAATTATCCCAACTACCTCCAAGTTTCCTTTGAGTCCTGCCTTGCACAAGTGAGAGAAATCACTGTATTTCCTTCTCTACCTCATATGGGATAGAAAACTGTTATGGAAAACCACATTTCAGGCAGGATTGCATCGGAGTTCCCACAGTGAAAACATGCCAGCATGCATAGACTTCATACAGAAACAGAAGTGAGAAGCACTGAATTGCCATGGCAAAGCAGAAGTGCCATGAACTTTGACTAGAATAAGTGATTGTGCTATTGTGAATCACACCTCTCTAACATCCCCTAAACTGCCAAGTAAGGTAAATAACATTCTGGTTGATAATCATCACTTGAAATTAGAGGGAGAATTAGCCTACTCAGAGCTAAGGCCTAGGAAAGAGCTGCTGGTAACTTCATGCCTTCTTGCAACTTATTAAACTTTTGTCGCATCTTCATTTTACAAATAAAAGCAGCTGTCACCGTTTTTTCTTGCATAAGGATTTTGATGCACATAAGGTTAGAAATCTTCAAGTACCAGCCAAAGCTTTACCAACAGTGAAAGCAAAACAATTCTTTCACAGAATTTTCTTAAGAAACTTATCTGATGCTTCTTTTATAGTATGCTGGGCTGGGGAAATTGTTTCCATAGACCTTCAATACGAGTGGGACACAACATAAAAAGGACATGGACCTATTGGAGTGAGTCCAGAGGAAGGCCAAGAAGATGATCAAAGGGATGGAGCACCTCTCCTACGAAGACAGGCTGAGAGAGTGGAGGTTGTTCAGCCTGGAAAAGAGAGGGCTCCAGAGAGACCTTAGAGCACCTTCCAGTGCCTAAAGAGTCTATTGGAGAGCTGGAGAGGGACTACTGACAAAGGCATGTGATGATAGTACAAGGGGTAACTTTAGGAAGGCAGGCTTAGATTGAATATTGGGAAGAAATTCTCTACTGTGAGGGTGGTAAGACACTGGAACAGGCTGCCCAGAGAAGCTGTGGATGTTCCATCCCTGGAAGTGCTCAAGGCCAGTTTGGATGGGGCTTTGAGCAACCTCGTCTAGTGAAAGGTGACCCTGCCCACAGCAGGGGGGCTGGAAGTAGATGATCTTTAAGCTCCCTTTCAAACCAAACCTTTCTATGTTCCATCATGCTCATTAGTATTTTTGGAAGGCACCACATTTAAAGCATCCTCCCTCACACAACCTAGATGAACTAATGAGATGCCTAAGCAATTAAAACTGCCACGCTAAAACTTTCATTCTTATAAGTGCTCGTTATATCACTCTAGTCTGAAACAGATGGGAAGAAGTGAAGGAGAAGGCTCAAGTTTCTGTTTTTAAGCTGCAGAACATAGTACAGAATTGCTCTCCTTTGAAAGGCTTAAATGATGCCAGTGCTTTAGAAGCAGTATTCCTCCTCTGCCAGAACATTCAAAGGCATGTAATTGTAGTCAAATTCAAGATGCCTATTTAAGTGAAATTTCCTTTTGATTTCCTTCCCTGCTTTGAAATTAAACAAGCATTGCCAATACTGAGCCAAGAGGGCGAACGTGCAGAGTCCCAGTCAAGGGTGGGTGCCAACAAGAAAACACTCTGTTTGTCCTCTCCATATCAGCAACTTCCTGCTTAATTCAGGAACATCAGTTCCTGGTAGGTAAGGTTACTGGGAACTGTGCAGTTCAGGGAAAAGTCACAAATGTTGGGGAGGGGATCAACAAGAACACACCATTCCAGGACATGTTTGTTAGATAGCACAGAGTCTCTGAAGCCCATGCAAGACCCCAAACTGAAACAGAAAGGGTGCACACATCTTGTGCATGCTCTCACAGTTAGAAAAACTTACCTTTCAGTCTGTTCAATGTGCACATCTCAAAACTCCATTAAAAATATGAAAAAAAAAAGTCTATTTTAGACAAAAGTTCTTATGCTTTTGAAGCTTTCTACTGCAGGAGCTATCAAAATACAAACCAGTTTCAGAGTGCAGATGTAAATGGTGTGCAAACGGTGGCTCACTGCCATCAGGAGCAAATCAATCTCTAAGCTTTCCAGAACAATTTAGTTTCCTGAACCATTTACAAAGCCTTTTCCTTGAAGAACATTTTTCTAACTAATCAAACACTTTCAGTTCCTACAACACTGTACTTCCCCACTAATTCCACTTGGGTAAAATGCAGTAGTTCATGTCTGAGCCTAAGCTACTTTCTTTGAGAAGTCATTTTAATCCAGTCCCCTTCAAAAGGTGCTTCTGGTCACAACTCCCTCCCTTTAGTTTGTGATTTTTATAAAACTCCCTGAAGTCTGTCAACATCCTACCGCTCCTTGGGGGTTGCTCTCGTGTTCTCTCTCCCCTTAACCTTTTCTCCATAGAGTCAACAACACAAAAATCCAGCCTTATGATTTCTGTTAACAGGTATATTACTTGCCAGTTGCAGGTAACACAGGCTATCCTTTAAAGTCTATTTTTCATACTGAATCTTAAACATGTGGTAGATTACAGATGCTAAAATTAAATTAAAAAATGGTTTTCCGCTCTTGGATTCCATTTAAGGTGAACAGAATAATACCCACAACAGTACTGTCACTGCAGGGTTAATTAAAAAAAAAAGACAAATTTGTCCTTGCCACAAATTGTGACTTAATGACAAGACTTTTAAAAATATGTTTTTTGGATGGTTTTATTTGCTTTCTAGACTCAAAAGCTTTGACATGCTCTCACAGTATTTACAGTTTCCCCCCACTGCAAAGATCATTAAAGTTTTTTCTAAGAGGGCTAAAATTAGTGGGTTTGATTTATGAAAAACTCAAGCAATTATGCCGACTTGTTCTAAATGGGAATGTGAAAAATGATCTTAATTTAGGAAGGTAGTGTCGAAAAGACTCTTCAGACTAAGCACAGAGCAAGTCTGTCTGGTCTGCTCTAGCAGCAGGGACTCAGCAGGTGAAACGTGGGACAGCAGAGGGGAGGGAGGTGTTTGATGTGCTGTTTTCAAGGCCCACTCCACCCTAAAAGCTATCACGGCAATAAAAGCCACAGTAACTCTTCTTGCAAGCCTTTTTTTTTAAAAGATAGAGATTATATCTGGATACTAATCAAGTGTCTGTGGAGAACTACTGCAGAGACACCAGTTGTTCCGAAGTCCAAAGATGGATCAGCATGTTCAATCTGCTGTTGGAGCGTGCAGCCACAGTACAGGCACCTTGGTGTCTCCTGCCAGTCCTCAGACTAAAAGACAGTCCACAAGGACAATGTATTCACCAAGTCTTCTTCTAATTTGTGGAGATTTCTAACCCAATTTTCAAGCTTTCAGAAGTTAATCCAGTGTTTACGGGAAACATGTATTTAAACATCACTATGTGCCTCAGCTCTACAAATCTCTCCCAAACTACTCCAATAAAATTATGCCTAGACATGCTCATAAAATCACTCCCTCTTTGGAATCTTTGTAAATTAAATTTACATCGCTAGAAACTACATCTGTGTAAAAAGAACAGTTCCCATACAAATCACATAACATAACTTTAGAAAACTATGTAAGAAAATCTTAATGGAAAGCCCTAAATTTGACAGATACATCTGACAGAAAAGGAAAACAAAAACCCCACAAGTAACTGAAAATATTAGTCTCTCCAGTCACCAAGGCCCATCCACAGCGCTGGCATGTCCTTCTACAGTAGCTTGACAACACCCTGCTAAGTACAGGGGGCAGGGCTGGGCCAGTGAGTTCCCTGAGCCTGCTGAGCAGTCCTTGGAAAGGGCTGCAGTCAGTGCTGGAGCATCACTGCAGGCTCCACCTGCAGATCCACATGCTCAGGGCACTGGTGCTGACAATGTGCCTCAAACACCTGAACAGGAAACAGATGCCCGATCACGCTCCAAGAAGCCCAGCTCAACCACAGGGATTGAGCTTAAGGCTTGACAGCTCCCACTCCCACCTTTCGCACGGCCTCCAGTTCCTTCTGCTTGCTCTCATTGGCCGCCTGCAGTTCCTTCATCTGCCGCTCCAGCTCCTCCTGCTCGGCCAACAGCTTCTGCCGCAACTCCTTCCGCTTCTGGCGCGCCTCTTTGTGGGGTGGGGGGCTCCCTGCTCTCAGCAGGTTTACCGTGGTCTGGATGGCTGGAAAGGACAGACAAAGGGACAGGAAGAGAACACCATTGAAGGGAAGTGCTCGACTTTCTGGATGGACTTTGCGAATGAATACTTGCGGTGTTGTTCGTTGGGCTGGGGTTTTTATAATATCTTTTTAAATGTGAAATAACTGGTGTCAGTCTCCTAATTCTCATCAGGCTAGCTGTCAACACAAACCAGGACTGAAAGACACTTGGCTCTCAGCACTGGCTGTGTGCCACAAGGATAAGGTCTGGTAATTCCACAGCATTATGCCAACGCCAATATTGATTTCTAAAAGGCCATAGACTTACATATGCAGCTGCAAGAAAAAACCCCTGACATTTCAGGATTTCTTACTACCTAGATTCAGTGACTCTCATCAAGGAATAAGATGTTATCTAACATACACATTACTTAGCTCCCTAGAACCAACCCTGTATTTTTACTGACACTCCAGGGGAAAACTTTCTCCCAGTAAGACAGTAGCTCTCATTCACTTATGTGCAATGAAATATTCAGAGAGCAAAGCTGAGGAGTGGCAGATGGTTTTGGTATTTTATTTATCTACTACAGCTGCAAAAAAATATCTCCTTTTTGGACCTATGTAATCATTCATCATACGTCTGACTTTGGTGCAATGAAACACATGCTGCAGGTAAAGAGGGAAGGCTCAGCTCCAAATATTTAATTGCTGCACATACTCACCTTGAATCCATTCCTGCTTCTTCTTCTTATCAGAGGCACTGATTTCAAAGGTTTTATCAAGACATTTTATGAGAAAAAGGCATTTCTTTCCATCTCTGTCAGGCAAGGCCTAGAATGGGTAACAAAAGGATTAGCCTTGCAAATACTGAAATCAAGTTATACAGTCAAGCTCCACGTATGCAGTTATGTGAGCCACAGAGTTGTAAATACCAGCACTAAGAGCCTTTATTAAAAGGGTGTTTATGAATTCTTTTTCTATAAAGTTTAAAAAGCTCTGTTAATAAAAGATATAAGGAGTCAATCCCGCACACACAAAAAAGGATTAATTCTTATCTTTAGAGACATACTTAGTTTTTGGAGTGGTTTTACCTCTACACAACAGTTGCCATCCAGTATGATGTCTCCCTTCTTGTCCTTTAAATCTTCACTTACGTAGTAGGAAATAATATTGGGTTTTAGCACAAACCATCGTTCCATCCAATTTTTCCTTTTGTGACCCTTTTTCAACATATAGCCCTGTTAAAAGCAACACATCAGCTGAAATACCTGACCTCTGTTCAGCCACCTGGTCTTTTGGTTATGTGGTGTAAAGGCCCAATAGAGCACATGGAAAAGTGACCTCATGGCCCCAGACATTTCATCTACACGCTCCATTCCTAACACCAGCACACTGCTAGCTCTTTAGCCCGTGAGGGGGGAATTGTTCTGTCCAGAACAATCATTATGTCATTACCCATTCATTATTATGAGTTTTTGGTCCTCTCTGATGACCTTCACTATTTAATTGTCTTCATTGAAGCAGAGACATTTGCCATCACTAAGATTCACCTGTGACACTTCAATGACAGCTCATACAAACAGTCAGTCCTGTGTGGGTGCTCACCCCAGTGACTGATGTGGGCCTGCATCCATGCACTGTAAATCCAGCCAGGTATGGGATATTCCCACGGACAAAGCAGAAGCACCTCTGTCCTGGGAGTGGCTCTGCCCTGCCAACACACTCCTGCAGCTGCATCCCACTGAAGAAGTGATCCCATACAGGAGACTTCAATGAGTATGTCAGAGAAACTTAAACAATGTCAAGATTTCCCTCACGGTATTTTATTTTCCTTGAAAGATGGTCCACTCAACTTCTTATACGAGAAAAACATTTGCAAGCCTTACCAACACTACTTCAAAAGAAGAAAGACAAGCCCATACTTTGCCACTGAGCTCTACAAAAATAAAAGAATAAAAATTACAGTCTTCCATAATTACAATAAATAGGGCTGGTATCACGATCAAATCATACAAGTTTGCCTCTACTGAATATTAACATATCTAAAATATAAGCAGCAATACTAAGTGCAGTTATGAAACTGAAACACCAATATAGCTATGAACAAGCCATACAAAAAGTATAATCAAAGTATTCCAGATTAAGAGATGGAAAAGTTGGAAAGGAGACCAAGGGACATTTTTTCTGTAATGGCTTTCATCTGTAACAATTTTTGATACAAGCAAATGTGGCACATTTAAGCCAAAGGTATCTTTCTGTGCAGGTCTGAAGGGGAAAAAAAATTCAGTACCATTGGAGAAGCGTTTTTGTTTAAAAAACAAACCAAACCAAACAACTCCCTACACATACATCTTATCTGTACTCAGCTCTTCTAGCCACTTAAGCATGTCCAGAGCCAAGGCCGTGCCTATTCCCATGTGCCACCCCGCTCCCTTGCTCCAAAACAGGAATGCACAGAGAAACGGCTTTGTCTGCCGCCTCCATACTCGGGTGTGAGGTCTGGGTGGGTGCAAGGCCATGTGAAGGACTCTTGCAGCTTCAATCTCTCATGCTTTGCACAGTCTAAGTCATAACCAGCTATTTTTTCCCTTCCTGACATACCGGATTTGCTTTCAAAGCCAAGTCAGACTGATATTTTCCCCCCCAAATTTCTGCAAAATCTTTCCCTATTATTTCAGTGTATCAGCTGCTTCTCATCTTCCAAAAGCCCATTGAGAGCTCCTGAAAAGTTGGAGCTTTTTCACATGGACCAACTGTCACATGGACACATCTCTCAGAAAATTAAGTATTATAAATTTAATTAACACTGCTGCCCTCCATAAGCCTTGGAGATCCAGAAGGTGTACAATAAAAGGGGCAGCACAACACTTGGCTACAATACTGTGTGTCATTAATTAATAGCTTGAAGTAATCACATGATTACTACAATAAACAGGACAGGTCTGTGAATCAACAAGGTATCAGGATACAGGCTGTGACTGAACCACATCCAGAAGACACACAGGGAACTCTGTTCTCCACTGGCCCAGTGACTCTCCAGGAGATGCTGGGCCAAACCTTGACACAAACTATTTTTAAGTGTCAAGCAACCATTGAAAGGCATGCAGACATCCTTGAGTAAGAGGCCTGGGCACCAAGAGAGGAAAGAAAGGAGACAGTTAAAAAAAAAGGGGGGGGAAGGAACACACACAGTGCAGTATCAAAACTGAAAAGAAATCTGACTTCCTCACAAGTTTCAAGAAGGACTGATCTGACACTGGTTATTTTATTTTCATGGTATCAAAAACCAGAATGACTTCATTTTGCCCTCAACTGACTATGTGTGTGTGTGTCCCCAGCCCTCACCTCCAACAGGCAACCAGCAGTTAACAAATTAGACTTTTGCATTGTTCTGTGGATATTCTGAAAGAATTTCCTGTGCCAAGACTTTCTGATGACTTCTTCAGAACAGCTTAGGAAAGCCTGCCAAGAAAGCCTTTGTTTCTCTCCTCACCAAGAAATCAAGGATGAAAAAAATTCTTTGCCAGGTAGAAGTCAATTTTAAAGAGCTCTCTAGGCAAACTCTGCTGTGACCCCTCAGGTTCCTGTGATGTTTTTACGTCCCATGAAAGAAATGCAGTTTTTAAAGACATTCCTAAACTGATAATCCAGCCACTGGAAATCTGAAGAAAGAGTTTGCTAATAAAGGCCAGCATGACTTCTTGTGTTTGAGTGCAGGTAAGCAAGCTGTCAGTCACGTAGCCTGCAAAGCAGAACAAGAAGGGAGAGTGCTCTGGAGCTCTTCCACAACTCTTTGCCCTGTTGAAGTGGGGCAACTTAAAAGCAGATCTTTCATCTGGAGCAAAATCCTTGTCCAGACCCCCTAGTTTGAACACAGAGGTTATCACCAGCACAACTGTATTTCCTGAAACGTAACTGAAACTACAGAAAGCATTATCAAAGATTGAAGAGCTGTCACCAGTTGAAGCGTGTTGCAGCTATTCTGTCAACTAACAAGCAGCTGATAGTAGCATAAAAAAGGCCATATTTCAAGTCAGAGCCCACTTCTTTCACTTTGTAGAAACAAGCTCTCCCAACAAGCAACTCATTCATAATACTGCAACAACTACAACAATCTGAACAGCAGCACAATTTCTCCTTTATAAGAATAAACTCATATTAAAGAACCCTTACATGTAATTTATCTGATTTCCTCCTGCTCATTATTCACTGGGTGAAAAAATTCCGGTATAAACTGAGCATTTTCTAATTACCCAATAAATCGTTGCTTTAAAATACCAGTTCTCTGTGGTTCTTACCTGTTTGAGTACATCTAATATGAGCTCATTAAAGACTTCATTGATGGCCATGGACACGGTCTGTCGGTCCATGCCTTTACTGAACTGCCCACTTCCGATGAGGTCAATCAGCTCCCACGCAGAGAGACCCTCTCGACTGGTGTTGAGGGCAATCTTGTAGTGGTCAAACTGCTCTTGCTGCCAACCTGCTCCCATTGCTTCGGTGATTTTTTTAAGTAAATATTCAATCTGTACAGAAGTACAAGCAGAAATCAATCATTTCCAGCAGGCCTGGAAGTCAAGTGCTGCAGAGCTGTAAACTAAGCTTCTCCAGAGACATGACAGCGAGATTCCTACGCTTACGTGTAGGCCCTTAAGCGTAGGTGGTTTAATTATCAAAGGTTTTAAGCTCCTGTCTCAGTTGAACTCTTGACTGCCAAGCCCATCCCACAACTACTCTCTTCATAGTAAAACAAAGAATTGAACCTGACAGCCTCATTTAACATATCAGATTCCTACAGAACACAAGGGACCTTCCCTGCAACAGCTTCCAAACTGTGATGACTGAAGCGTGAGAAAGCAAGAAGTTTCAGAAAGTATTCTTGCAAGACAAAAAGAAAACAAAGTAGGAAAAAAATAAGAAAATATGGCAATTTAGACATGAAGAGAAATCAAAAACTACCAAGGTATGATCACATACCCTAGTCTTCACCTGACCCTTCTTCTCTAGCTCTCAAGCACTCCATCCCTGGACACAATCTTGGCAGAGGTATCAAGAGAGAGAGAAATTTTTCACGTCCGTTTTTATTGTTTAGAAAATAAGCTCTCCTTCTTTAATCTTTCATCTTTCTGTAAGCATTACCATACACAGGATAATAACACCAATAACACTAGTCAAAACAAACACAAGAATGAAAAAGAGGGAAAGAAGGCTCGGATTCTAGCTTTGTCTGGATTTTTATCGTGGTTTTAAACTCGTCATTGTTCATTCACAGTATTTTAAATTAAGCCCATCTACAGCTTTGAGTACATGCAAAATGCTTTTAATTGCTCTTTAAACAAAATAACCAGTGAGGACCTTTCTAGAAAGACCTCTGCACAGCAAAGTAAAAGCCATGCTTCTGAGTTTCTGTGACTTAGAATAGCAGGATACTAATTACAGCACTTAGACCAGTTTTGAAGACAGACCAAGCCTTTTGCTATTTTGGGTGATGGCTCACTGCATTTCCTCTCCAGCTTTGCAGGGAACCAGACAAGGCAGACAGGAAACCCTCCCAAGGGGAAAGGCTCGGGAGAAGGTGCCCAGTAATCCCACACCAGGGACAGGGAAGCAGCAGGTCCCCCAAGGGTTGGCTCTTCAGCCACCACAAGCCCAACACAGAACCACCTCCTGGTGGGTTGGTACACAAAGCCACAGGGAAGGGTTCATCCTGGATCCTGGCTGCCCCACTGCTCTGCAGGCATGAGGGATGCGACGGCGTGGGAACTGTGGGAACTGCCACTGCCCAGTGGAGGCGGGGAGAGAAAGCAACAGGATCCTTTCACGTTCTCTCTGTACATGTGGAAAAAACATGGATTTGCTCAAGTGCTGCTTTTCTGATGGTCAGTCCTTCAGGACAGTCTGCTCCACTTTCAGTTTATCTACTTTAGCTATGGTTTTGGAAACACTGAGTGACTTAAGACTCTGAATCCCATTATGATCTCACGAACATGCCTCACTGAAAAGTGGTGAAACCAAATGATTTCCAGGACTTCAGTTTTCTAATCACCAGTGGCGGTTCACCTCTCTTCCTCGGCACTGCTTAAAAACCCACTGTAATTTCTCCTACAGGTAAGAAAAACCCTGGCCAAGAGAGCCAGAGGATGTTTTCACCACAGAACACATTAACTTTCTGGCTACAGCTCAGAGTCACCTTTCAGCTGGTCTAATAGGCTTTGGAGCACCCAGCCGTCTCTACACAAGAGATTTCGGAGTACAAGGAAATAAAGAAGTGTTTTTGTCCCCCAACACATTTCACCACAAGGACTCCCAAGGTTTTGATGCAGCACACATACTAATTTTGTGGCTGTTTCTCTCCCTTGCAACCAGTACAAGCAAATGCCTCCCTTTCCCTCACATCTACGATCAGCAAACACACAAACGCGTAGTGGAACACGTATCTGGTGAAGCAGTAGATTACCAAATTCACCCTACAGAGAAGTTGGGGTTTCTTACTATTTCAGCTCAGTCACTGCTCTTGGTCTCACAGCCCCTGCTCTGGTAGCACATGGGCTCATGCTACAGCAAAATGGAGAAGCTACAGCAAGCTGCTGCACTGCCAGGAGGAAAGTTCCCGCTCTGCTGAAGGAGCGGGAAGTGCATATACCTCCAAGACGTGGCTGTCATATCCTCCTTGTTAAATCTGCCTTGGAAAACAGGCCAGCTAGGCACAGAATATGCCTCCACAGTGGGTCCAGAAGTTGTGGAGAGCATTGCTTTTCATTTCAGTTAACAGAGGCCTCTGCAAAAGTGACATTCGAATGCAAAATCTTTAAAATATGCTTTGCTGATTTTCACTCTCCTAAAACCTCAAGTTAAAAAACTAATTCAGGACTTACGAGCATCAGCTACCATAAATCCTCAGAATTCAGTTAAGGGCAGGAAGCAGCTTACTTCCTATTCCAGACAAGTTTTATAGAAAAAAACCCCAACACAAAAAAGCCTTCACAGCATGCAAGAACAGGAGCACTGCAAAGTTGTTTCAAAACAAACCTCCTAAAACCTGCATCTGATGAGCTGGAACGAGCTTTGGCATCAATGCAGGAGTAACTTTTTTACCCACTTTTGTTCCTGCCACTCAGCTCATTCCCTCTGAGCAGCATCATTTCTGAACTACAATCCTGGACTTTAGCTGGAAGGAAAGCTAAAATAACCCAGGTTTAATTACGTAGATAATATACCTACCAAAATGCTAGACAGTAATAATATTTTTTAAAGTTCCTAAGCTTCAATGACTTTTTTAACTTTAAAATGTATTGTTCCAAGATTTCACAACCTCTTACACTGCTTGAGGCATGCAGCTCTGAAATTCCTTTGGTTAATTATCTCGAAGTACTAGGACTCACTTGCTGACAATGGAACACACACAGAAAAAAAGAGCATACCTGAATAAATTTTTTCCAATTTTTGCTCAAGCCATATGAATAAAATGTGTATCAAACTAATGGTCTGGAAATAAAGCAATGCAAAACTCTTGGCTAGTACACATTATCATATAATACACTAAAAATAAGCCAATACATCCTTGCCTTTAATGTAATTGGTACACATTTTATCTTATTTTGATTCATAGAATTAAACACTTAAGTCTGCTAACCCCCCACCTACAAGTCACTAACATGACCACAAATATCCTATAATCCCACCAAAGTACATAAAATATCTCGTTATTTTAAAATACATTAACTCTTCTTTGAAACTGAAAAATTACCTGTGCACCTACAATTCAATTTCTAAAATTAAAAATACCCAAACAACTACGTTTCAAGCCTTATCTTGCCTTTACTTAAGTACATGGTTAACCAGTGTCCCCACAAAAAATTCAACATATCTGCTCAACATCAACAGTGCCTGTTGCACTGCAGTATGAATATGGAAGTCTGAGGCAAATATAAAGAAATAAGATGCATCAGTGTGAAAGCAAATAGAGACCATTCATTATGTGCTCAAATGAGGAACCTCCGGGCAAATGGCATTTCCCCCCCTTCACAGACACATGTCAACACAGCAAATAACTGACAAATTAAGTCTCTTCTCTCACATATAACCTACTCTTGTAGTTAAAAAGCAGTGTTGAAAAGCAAAAGTGAAGCAGCTTTTCCTGCTATTCTGACTGGACACTACTTCCAGAGATAGGTGTAAAAATACATGGGAGTTACACACACCACTACATACATCAGTATGGACCAACTGGCTCCACAGTATGAAAAACAGCTTCCATCTCAAATCAACAGAAACTTTTCAGCCAGAATTTTGACAAGAGAGGGCAAAAATAATATAAAGAACAGAACTCTAACATGAGCTATGCAGCCTGTTTGGTATCTTCTTTCAGAGGGCACTTTCTTTTCCCCATATTTCAGTACCTATTTCTTTTCCAGGTATTCCTGGCACTATCCTCCATGGGGAATGAAGTATCATAGATGTTTCACATATTTTTCTGATATACAAGTGGGTCTCTCAGAATAAGAAAAAATAATGCCAAGGAGGCCTTCATGCTCAGCAGAGCACAGCAGACGAGGCTATTCTGGTTTATAATATTCAAATAACCTTTGTGATATTAACAGAGCAGACATCAAAAGTCTACTCACAAAGTACGAAATTCTGTAGAAGCATATGTTATGGGGCAAGACACATGAAAGCAATCATATCCCTTTTCACAGTCATCAACAACCCCTTTTTTTATCCCAACAGAACATCAGTTACATTTCAGTCAAATACTTATTTCTTCCTTTTCACCAGCATAACCATGTTCATTATCCACTGTAAGCCACTACCTTCTTTCTTTTTTACAAAATTAAATCAGCATTAAGTAGTATAATAGAGGCCAATCCAAAAAAAAAACCTGCTGCATAAGCTGAAAACTGTCTTATTTCCTGCAGCAATCCAGGAAAAGGGTAGTGAAAGGGAAAGAACTGATGCAAGTTGTAAGGGACTAAAAATCTTTCTAATCACTGACATCAAATAGTAGAGATCATGGGTCAATTAAAACCCCACACATTCTTTCTGTATCAGTTTTGAAGTTATTTCTGAAGGGGCAAGGGTCAATTCCCAGTACTTCATTACTGTTTCAGTTTCTGATACTAGAATGCAGAACAAGGAAGCAAACATGGTCACAAAATAACCTTTTCTGCAAGAAATGCTTCCAGAAGAATCACCACCAGACACCTTCTCAGGCTAAAAAACTTCATCTCCTTTTGAAATGCACAGAAAGCCACACAAGGTTTGGTCCTCTTAGGAGGATTAGAAATGCCATGTGTTAATACGGTTGAAGGCTAAAGGACAAGTGAAAAATGACTGTACAAATCTTTCCTCATGAAGCCAGGCTTAAGAAGTAAAGACAGCAAATATGTTTGGCTTATTTGAAACCAGTTGTGTGAACGCTAGATTACAACACAGGGAATGCAGCTTGCAGTGGACATATCTGTGAGTTCCACCATGAGGGACGGCCCAGAAACACAGCTAAACCACAGACCACAGCTTTCAGGCGACAAAGCATTCCCAAGGCTGCAGTCAAATGTCCAAAAATAAGAAAGGGGAAGTGTTCGGAAACCTTTTTATAAAACAGAAAACGTCTGGTTAAACAATCCCAAGGCACACAAATGAGTCTGTAACAAATAAGAGGCGAGTTGTAAGGAAAGCTCATGACAAAATAGAGTATTTCGCCTCTTATGGCTTCAGTTCTCTCCATCTTTATTTAATCCTTCTCATGGAAGAGGTAATGCCTGCAAGAGCTGAAGGAAACACACACTTGGATGTCTGCATCTCAGATGATCTAATGGAAAAGACCAGCTGTGGGGAAGGGAAGGAGCTCCCACCTGGCTCCCTGTTTTCTGGGAGTGTTAACAGGATAACTGCTTGGTAGAGCTTTGCCCCCTGCACCAGAAGGTAGTTCTGCTGTTAGCCAGGAATTGTATCAACACTGAAAGCTTTCCATCAGGACTAGTTTTAACTACAGCAAACAAAATACAGCATTGTTTTCCTCCAGTTCACCTGTATCTTTTTGAAATACCACATAGACAGTTCACAGGAGTGTTTCACTGCCTACCAAGGCCTCTCATTTGAAAGGGGAGGAAGCTTTCAGACTTGATACCATTTGCTTGGGACATGAGCATCTTTGCAAAACAAACATTCATGGATTTCTGCTCCTTTCCAGCTTTCCAAAGTGCTGCCCACCAGTACCCAGCAGAAGTGACACTGGGGTCTAAGGCCATTACCAACTGAGCCAGTGCCCTGCGTAGCCACCAGCTCCTGCCTCTTTGTTATCTGACTTCTCTCCATAACATAGAGGGATCCTCTCAAGCTTGAAGTCACATGCCACAATTGCACGCCCCATGCTGGATTTTACTAACCTTATTTCCCTTAAGTGCAGGGCTGACATCTCTCCTTCCAGGGCAGGTGAAGAGCACAGGCCAGTTAGTGCCTCTGGCTTTCAGCCTGGCCTCTGCTAAACAAGAAATTTCTGGCCCTTGTGTCACCTCTCCACTGCTTTCAAATTCTCTCTTGATAACTTCTTTCCTTACTTTGCTCTTTCTAAAGCTGTTCTCATTCTGCACCTCAGAAACCTTTCCAAAGTAGCCTGCTTTCCCTTCTCTGGGAATGGCTGCAGCCTGTTCAACACCTCAGCAAGGAATCAAGACTTAACACTTTGCAGATGGGGGTGACAGCCCCACCACAATCAGCTGTCTAATATGAAAGGCCCAGCACTGCAGCACTAATGCAGAAGTTCTTGACGTGGGTAAGAAGGAAGGATAGCAGCTTCAAAATTTCATCAGGCCAGTGCAAAGAAGGGAAAACTGTACTCAAACTGGAGAATTTTCCAGATATGAGATACGAAATGACAGCAGAAATCACTTATCTCATTTTAAAAATTAAAAAAAAAAAGAGGAAATTCAGACTCCTGAGCATGTCCCAAAGAGCAGTTCCTGCAAGGAGGAAGAAAAGGCATCCTTTTAGCTATATGAAATTGTGTTAATACATTCACTGGAGATCTAAGTTTTGCCATCCACAAGACAGGAGGCAAAAATCTTCAAGGGATCACCCTTCCAACCTGAAAGTATGCAGCAAGTTTCTTAGTTACCTATAAAGTGGGAAAAAAAAAATCCCCAAAAGCCAACAGGGTGGAAGGGAGGGAAGAGGGGAAACAGCCGGATACCACACAAAGGACTCCAAGCCAGAAACTGCAGCAAATCGTGTGTTGCAATATTCTCAGCCAACGATAAGGGCCACAGCCAGGCAGGGAAGGAAAGCCTGCTCCCTGGGTGGGAAGCTGTAGTCACACATGAGTGGCTTACATTGCCCTCAGCAAAACATCAATATGACAGTGGTGCTTCCATTGCCCTTCTCCTCTCTTTTCATTTTGCAAAAATCCCCTCACTGTACACATGACGTGCAAGCCATTTTGTAAAAAAGGCAGACACGAAAGGTCACGCAGAGAAAAAGCAAAACTGACTGAAATTGAGACTTTGCATCTTTACTTTTGGAATTTTGTGTAAAGGGTGCATGAGTAAATGTGGAATTTTCCAGAAGCACAGAGAACCTGACAGAGGATCAGTGCAAACCAGAAAGGAGTGTTTTCAACAGCCAGCATTCCTCCAGTGGTTGATTACATTACCTGTGTGGTCTGAGGCAGAAGGTGGAGTGAATACAGGCATTGTATATGATAAGAACAGAGCAGCCTTTCTTTGTCAGTCAGGCTCCCGTAAGCTCCCTTTAAACAGATTGCACAATTTAAATCCTGCTGCAATCAAAGAGATGCAGACACAGATCCACACTGAGAATTTGAAAAATAATCCAAGTAGAAGAGCAATACAGGTTAACCCTGTGCATTAGGGGCGGTAAGGAAAGTAAACAACAGCAGATACGAAATCTGGAAATATGAAAAACCTTGGCTGGGAGCCGACTCTGCAGCCCATCTGCCAACACACAGACACATTGTCATCACCTGGCATCAGCTACAGGAGGCAGCTCGAATCTGGGGCTTGCTTGTGGAGGGGGAGCAAGGAGCAACACCCCAGAGCTGGCAGGTCTGAAGCTTTTAACCATGCCAACAGTTTAGGAGATGTGAAATGTCTGCCCGTAGGTAAGGCAGGCTGCACGGTGGGGAACAGACTGACAAGTCAAAGGCCTGCATTTGAGCCTCAGTTTTCACATTTAATAGTGGCTCTGACCTTCTACCAAAGCCAAATCTGGCAACACTAAGGAGCTGTCCTACCTTTCAGAACCATGATCCCTATCTCCCAGAACCAACATCAAAAACAGGAAAGCAAGCAAGAAGACTGTCTCATTTCTCATGGGAATACAGCATGCCAGGTAGGGCCCTGGCAGGGGCCAGACTGGCAAAACCAGAAACGCTGCACAGAATGAAAGTCTCCTGCTAAAAAGTGAGTAAGAAAGCAAAACTGAGCAGTTTATTTTGACAGGCAAGTTATCTGTACTTTATGGTTTGGCACAACACCTTGGAGTCCAACGGTTATGTTGTTAGTGGCATGTTAATCACACTGTTTTGATCTCTGGCTGTTCAACAATTTGCAAATATTTATTATTCAGTACTCCAGTGCTAAACTGCAAACCCCTGGGATTCCTGTACATGGTTCTGCAAGGGATTATTTATGCCTGCAGTTCTGATCTTTCCGCTTCTTTCCCCACCCTTCCCAAAGGGGAGAATAGTAGAGATACGGAAATCTTGCTTTAGGATTAAAATACCTATCTGAGCACTGCTGATACTTGTTCATGAACTTAAAGTATAAAGACATCTCTGTGCTATTATTCCTTTAGCCATTTCAAGCAAAAGTGTTCAGGTGGTGGCTGTTTTTGATCAGAAACAGACATCATCAGAAAAGTCAGTATGTCTCCTTTTCATCAGGAGGGTGACATGAGACTGAAGACTCATCTTGCAAGTCACGATAACACAGAAAAGAGGGGGGAATTTTTTTTTTCAAAATCACACTGATGAACTGGCTGTGCAAAATTTTAACTACCTATAAGCAAGCACAGTGATTAAAGATCACATCCATGAACTACTCATGAGTGGAGCAAGAACCTCACCAGCTCTGAGTGCTGGTACAGGAGCTTGTGTCCCCAGCACCAGTCGGTCCTCACATAAAGCAAAATAAGCTATTTACTGAGGACAAGCAGCACAGAGCTATCAACATCTAAAGTATCCTGTGGAAATCCCCATATATGCACCCTGGAAGACAAGAAAAATGCACCCAAGGCCTTACATTATTAAAAGAGGGGGAATAAAAGTTTTATATTAAACAATATTTTATCTTAAATATCTAAAGAATAGAAAACTAACATAGTTCAACTGGGACATTAAGCAAACTGGTGTTAAACAGCTTAAGTTTTTGTTTCTTACCTCCTCGGGTACAATGATTAAAGGGTATTTGTCCTCTGATAAGAAGTTAAAAATAACCCACACTTTAAATGCATCTTCATCACTAATCAGCAAAGGACTTTTAGAGAGGTTCTTTTTAGCACAGAGAGTCCAGCACATCCTGTTGAATTCAACTTTGTCAAAGTTTCCTTGAACCTAAAAAGAAGAAATTGAACAACAACAAAAAAGATTGATATGCACGAATGACACAGAATAGCAGACAGACAAAGTTTAACAGGATACAAAAAGCAGCGAGAAAATTCTAGTTTGCAAGAACCACCAAGGTCCAAAAAGAACATTGTAGCAGCCTAGTCTGACTTTTTGCATGGAGTCAAATAAGGAGTTTTTTCCAGCAAAATTAACATCCAACCTCCAATTTCTGGTTGAGTTAATAGCACCCTGACTTCATGTGAAGGAAGCTACATTGCATTCTGCATCTCCTCTGGCACATTAGCTTTAGCTTCCAACCCATCTTCAGAACCGTCTTAGTTCCAACTGCCCTTCTATTGCGCTGAGTTACTGAGATTGTATATAGCAAATCTGGAAACCAGCACAGCCAAAACTACACGTGGATATGCTAAAGGCAATATTGGAACAACAGCTGGGAAAGACCTCTAATATGTTTTTCCACTTCACGTTACTCAAATGTAACTCTTGTAGGATATTCATCAACATAGAGCCATTTTTTCTTGAATGCTAATCCACTTAAAACCTTCTCCTTTTCTCAGACTTGCAAATCTTCACCTCACTGATAATAAAATGCTTCCTGTTTTCATTATCCTTTATTATACCTAGCAACTGCACATACTGATCAGTGAATTATTTGCATATGCAAGAGCTTTAATGTCCTCTGTTTTCTTTCTAAACCCTCATTTATGTTATAAACTATTTATCCTCTCTCTACAGCTTAGCCATGATATTTCTTTGCCAACATGTAACTGATAAAGGTATGTTTTGCATTGTAATGGAAGGCCCTTTGAGATTTTGGAAAACATGTCTAAGAAACATGTTCTTGTACCTCTTGTGGTAATGGCACCAGCAATGGTCAGTGATATTTTCTTATGACAGGTCAGAGCATGCATCTCAGATGCTTCAAGAACACCAATGCCAACTGTATGATTTCCTATCCACTCTGGTAAGTGGTCAGATATAGTGGAGGGTGAGCCACAGTGGCCAAGTCAAACACAGACTAAGGAAGTCACTGAACTGATGTGGGTGGAGGGAAAAAAAAGAAAAAAGACAGAAATAAACTAGAAACCAACCCTATGCCAAGAAGCACTTTACAGAACAGTTTCCAGGCATAAAAGTGAGCCTATGAAAGAAAACCATAGACTTTGCATGCTTGCAGAGCGGGCCACCAGCGTCAGTGCTGATGCAGGAGGCTGGCTCCAGGCTGGAACTGTCCTGTGAACGAGGTGCAAGTTGTAGGAGCCACAGCTGCTACAGCTGCTTCAGCATCTATCTTGTTCACACAGGAATCATAGAATCATAGAATCACAGAATTACAGAAAGGTTTGGGTTTGAAGGGGACCTTGAAGATCATCTAGTTCCAACCTCCATGCCGTGGGCAGGGACACCTTCCACTAGACCAGGTTACTCAGAGTCTCATCCAACCTGGCCTTGAACATTGCCAGGGATGGGGCATCCACAACTTGTCTGGGCAACCTGTTCCAGTGCCTCACCACCCTCATAGTAAGGAATTTTTTTCCTAATATGTGATCTAAACCTACTCTCTTTCAGTTTGAAGCCATTCCCCTTGTTCTGTCACTACGTGCTCTTGCAAATAGTCTCATCCCATCTTTCCTGTAAGTTCCCTTCAGGTACTGGAAGGCCACAGTTGGGTCACCCCAAAGCCTTCTCTTTTCCAGGCTGAACAATCCCAACTCTCTCAGCCCCTCCTAATATGAGAAGCGCAAGAAACACGGGTCTTGAATGAAACACCAACTAAGCGAACAAACACCCTCTGGAAGAAGGGCTAGAAGCCGTGTTTCCTTCTCCTTCCTTGTATTTGTCAGCGCTTCATCCCTTGGCTACTCTTGCCTGTGCTTTTTCTGTCTGTCCTCCCCACCCTGCCCAGTGAAGCCTGACTTCTTTTCTAGAACAGCTTCTCCCACCCAGATGATGAGTGGTTCCACCTTGGTAATGTCCTAGTGGTTATGCTACTCCTGAGGAAGACGCCGACAGGCTGGGAAACCTCCTTTCCTACAGCCACCACCTGGCAAGTGCTCTAGGCACTGTAAATAAGATGGGATGCCCTCTGAGCAGCTCATGTTTTAAGGCATGGCAGCAATCAGTGACCACAGGGAGACGGGTGGAGAAAGGCACAGGCCCTGGCTGGGCAAGTGCACAATTCCTGCTGACACAGAAAAGTCAGACTGCACTTGCCTCAGGAACTCGTGTCAGAGCCCAGGTCACCTGTTACTGCCGTCAGGACTACGCAGCAGTCAAATAGGAGGTTTCAGAATCATTTTGCCACAGGGGAATAGGTTCTTCTCTGCCACCAGTCCCACTTTAGACATATAAATCCTTTTCACAGACTTAATTCTGAAAGGGACTTTGTGGAGCCCACATGTCATCCAGAGCAGAGGCACCGATTAGGAATTTTTCAGGAACAATGATTACATCAGCACACGAGCCCCAGCTTTCCAAAAATATAACAAGCATTGGTAGTGTAACTAGCACTCATGAAGTTGCCTGGAAGGTTTAGAACAATGTCCTTCTTTGTCTCCCCCCACTACGACTCTCCCTTGCTATAAATAAGGCCTGCTGTAAAATACCACCATTGCTATCGTTGAAAAGGAAACATTTTCAACTGGTATTTGAAGATATAGATTGAAAATAACAGAACATACTAAAATATAGTCATGAAACCAAGGAAAACAAATTATGAAAAGATTATATTGGCAAATGATAGCTCTCTCCTGAAAGAGACACTCATAGAAGAAGGCAGATTTTGTTTCAGATGCAAGAAAACTCTAGATAGATCTATCTGCTAAGTAACAAGCTGTGTGATACTGGAAATCATCAATTAGGCAATACTAATTATTCAAACTGTTTATTGAAATTCCCTATGTGGATAAAGGAAATCAGTTGCAACCAATTTACCTCATTTAACTACCTTGTCTCTCCTGACAATTGTGTCTTTCTTGACAATTTCTTGGCTCTATATAAAGAGGCTTTAGTGCAGAGTAACACACAGCGTAAGCCAGCACCAAAAAACATAAAAAGCTACAACTGCATTTACGAGTACAACAGAAGTTATTTCCAAAGGTTACAAAGTCCTCCCAATAAAATTCGTAAGTCATAGTTACATAGTTTTAAAAGAGCTCTAAAAATTCATTCTTTTTTGTAGGTCATAGTTGCACAGTTTTAAAAGAGTTCTAAGAATTCATTCTTTAAACACTTTAAGAATATCTTAAAGCAAAATATCTTAAGATCAAAAAAATCTCTCTTAAGCAGGTGGCTCTTACTCAAATCAATTAATTTACCACAAGATGTATGACTGGAAATTGAGAGGATTTCCTCTGTATTTGGGGCTATAAAGCATCACTCCTTTAGTAGCTCTGCTCACTAGCACAGACTAAGAGCATTTCTTCTACAATCACCCCAGCTAAAAGAACAGATTACACCTTGGAAGAATGAAGAAAGAAGGAGTTTCTTGTGTGCTTTTTTTGCTTGTTTGTTTTAAACAAAGGAGACATGCTGTGAACCAGTGACTTCATCCCACTGCATGATGTTTTCTGGCACTGATGTAAAGTCATCTCTAAAAGAAGAGATGGCATAGTCAAGATTTTTCCCATCCAAAAAGACAGCCTTCTGTCAAAACAACTTCACTCATTCTGAATAGTATATATCTAAACTGTTTACAAGCATTTAGCTAAGATTAAATAACATGAAGTTACAGGTAATTTAATCCTGTTCCTTAACATTTTCATCTTTCAAGATTAACTAATGGCATGGGTATATCAGTCAATCATTGGAGGCCAGATCAGTGTCTGAACAAAACAACACAAGAAGCTATATGCAGCCATGCTCTTTCCTTTCATGAGAAAGCAAGGTAGCTCCTCCTTTGTTTTTACCATGGAGTAAGAAGGTGCCCCAGGGTAGCACTGCAAATTCTCACCTACTTGCTTATATAGGCGGGTCTGTCGTTTTCAAATTAAAATGTTATTTACATGCAATTGCTCCTCATTTCCTTAACTATTTTTCCTATAAACATCCTTTAACAATAAAGCACTTTCATATTTGAAAAAGCCTTCCATCTCTCTCTTTTTTTTTTTTAACCTAATGACTTGCTACTGCCTACAAACAGTATAAATCGACTGTGCTTCAGCCTTTCCCACTGTAATCCTTTGGTCAAAATAAATTAAGGCCTTTTCTTTTTTCATAGATTTTTTATCTAAACTGCTTGCTCTCTGTTGAACCTTACAGGAGCTCAGACTGCCAACATGAAGCAGAAATGAGATCACAACTTCTTAGGGACATAGCAAGTCTTCAGCATGTCTCAAGACATCAATCTGGTACCTTTTTGTGTATTAATGGCCAACAACTCCCACACATCAAATAGGACACTCTTGGGGCGTCTCTCACACTCTCTGGGTACAAGAGAAACACAGACTAGAGAGGCAGAGGAGCTGATAAGTCTTAGCTAGATATGCTTCTACTACTTCCAAGCTGCCAGACTGCATTATATACATATATCACATTTTCCACCAGTATTACACATAGAGTAAAGAAGGAGCAATATTCAGCAAATCAGGCTAAGGAATTTGCATCACCTGCAATTGCTGCTTTGGGCTTTTCGACAGTGTGTCAGTTCAGGACTTTTTAGCATAATAAAAGAAAGCAAACAGCTCTGTATGTCTGCAGCCACAACATCAAAGCTTGAGGGTTTCTGGGGTTGACCCCAAGTATACGAGAAACCAGTGGTATTGAAGCTCATATTAGCACTATCATGTGGGCTGCTTTTTACTGTCCAGTACAGTGACTCAACATTAGCTCTCAGAAAAAGAGCAGGAAGATAGTTGCTTGGGATTTTTTAACTTTCAAACCCCATGACTACCTCTCTTAGAACACAATGGAGAGGAGAGCAGGGGAAACCCTGCTGGCTTTACAGTAGGGTTTCCCCCAAAACAAGGCACAGTAGAAGAGTGAAGAGTGCTCAGACACGAAAGAACTTGCAAGACAAAACTTAACAACGCTGCCTGATGTCACCCACTGTCACTTATCTGAAAGGATGTAGTTATTAGAATATCTTGTGAAGAACATTGAAGATATTTTTGCCCTTTTTGTTTGCAAAGGAGTCTATGACAACATTCTGTTGTAGCTGTAGTATAAAGTAGGACAATCTACAGCTCCAAGACCCTTTCTGATAAATTCAAGCTGAAGTGCTTTACTGATGTGAACACAGTCCTGCATGAACACAGCTTAGACAAGGGCCAGATGTAACAGGAAATAGAAACCAAGGAGAGAAGAAAGAAGTAGAAAACAGTGCACCCTTCCATTTTTAGGCACAGGCTCTCCAGAGTACCCACCCTATCATGACCCCATACAGATACACTCACCACCAGCACCTTCACACCAGCATGCTTCCTGCACACACCAGTTTTACTTCAAAACTTACCTTTTCCAAGATGAATTTGTTTAGGTAAGGCATGTAACCCTGATTGGAAACTGGCCCTTCATCATCGTCCCTAAAGTGCTCTTCCAAGGCCACCGGGTCGTGGGGGACATTTAACACTGTACACAAGTTGTGAGAAAGGACCTAGGGACAGAAGAGAAACCAGTGACACTGCTGTCAGCCTCAACCACGAGCAAAGTGACACTTTGATGTCAGCACAAGTTCTGCCCCACGAATTTTTGTCAAAAAACAAAACATAACTAAAACAATGGATTCAGTGGCTTCAGACAGTTGCACGTTTCCAGAAGCAGTGCGAGCACAGAGAGGTCCAGTCCTACAGCACTGCAAAGGCAGCTACAGAAGTTCCCCTTTGTACACATATACCCATGTGGCTGAAAACCAGGAGAGGCATGCAGAAACACTGGAGCAATACTTACAGAGTGAAATCAGACAGCTATGAAAAACAACCACAAACACCTAGCCTTTTAAATTATAAATATTTATATCTACTGCAAATGAGTAACAGAGAAAACAACTCAATATGTGCCTTTAGTTTACAAAGATGTGACCACTCAGATGAAAGCATTAACTATGGATTTCTCTCATCTGCTTTTGGGCTGCTTCTCAACATTCACCCCACGTTTCAGCTGGCAAATGAAAAGTAATGTTACAGAAAGGGGAAGGGTTTAGCTGTGCTTCTCAAATTTTTATTTTAAAAAGGTATTTGCATGAATTATATCAAGAGCATAACAGCCACCAGCACTCGTGTCTGTTATTGAGAAATGACCTTCAAGAAGAGACTACACACTTGACTAATTTTAAGGAAGTGCTGAGTTACTGAAAACTAATTGGTAGCCGACACACCTCAACTTCTTCAGCTTGAGCTGAGCTTTGCACACTCAAACCAACACCTCAGTGCCAACAGGAAGGCAGAGCTTGGGCAGCAGCTACTCCTGTGCCACTGGCACTTTCCCCAGAAAAGGCAAAGCACCATCCCTTTCGTTGTTCACACTGTCTGGAGTCAAGTCAGTCCTGCCCATCACGTCTTAAGCACCCTGTCACTGGGAAGCCCTCTCCCTTGGCACGATGCAGAGCTGAGCCTCTGAAGACCATGTACCAGCTACATGAACTGGGTTAAGGATTTCACTTCACATGCTCTGGAATGGTCTGCATGGAAAAAAAGGTACCAAAGGCAAAAAATAAAGGTAAAACAAAATTAAGCAGAAGTAAAACAGATCACATCTTTTGAAAAGGTGTGCTGCTGGTGGTATTATTTTTTTTAAATCAACAACTACATGGAACAGACTGCAACTGAATTTTGGCATATGTTTTAGTTTTTCATAAAATTAAAAACAAACAAACAAACAAACAAACAAACAAACAAAAAACAGACCCAAATGATGCAAATAGAGAGCAGTAAAAAAATGTGTAGAAAATTATAAGCATGTCTGTTTAGGTGAGAAGACATAGAGTGGTCAAGATGGAGTTAGCTGCAAAACAAGAAGTGAAAGTCTGAAGTTCTCAAAGCCTAGGAAATCAAACCAATGCTACACACTTAAAATATCTGGGCTTTCCCCCACCCACCTCCCTCCCCCCCCCCCCAAAAAGTACACTTACTTTTCTTATGTATGATAAGGAGATATGCAGAATCTAAGTTAGTTAGCAGAAAATTCTACAAGGATAGCCCAAAATGCATGATTAGTTCAGAGGAGAATTCCTCTCTACATACCTCCAAAGTTAAACTTTCTTTTAGAAGAATAGACATTTCCATGAGAAACACATATTTTCAACGATGAATGCTAGCACTAAGGCATTGGAGCTTATGAGGTGTAAAAGTTTAAAACCACTTAAAACAACAGCATCAGCCATACTACAACAAAAGCTGTATTTCAGAAAGCAGCAAAATAGCATTTAGAAGTTATCACATTTCACACTACCCTTCATCAACAGTGTATTTTCCTTCAATCTATCCTTATTTCTAACCACAACATCAAATCAAGTATTTGAGTCCATGTGATTTACATATAGGTTGGGGGAACATACTATCATGTGTGTTTCCCCTTCTATTTAAGGCTTCTGTTGTTATTTATAGAAGCCTGAGGGATTCTTGAATTTCTGAGAAATAGAGATGAACACCATTTCCCAACCACACTGTAGTTGCTATTACTATAACAAAAAAACCACTCAGCTAATAAAAATATCCTAAAAGCATAACTCATTTAAGCTTACTACCAAAGTAAACTAAAAGTCTCAATAAAATACTTTCTTATCACGTCCTTTCTACCTATTTCTCTTCTCCTTTTTTCAGCCTGCTTGCTGTGCGTGGACTGTCAGAAACCTAGGTGGTTTCCACATTAAGCAAGCAATTTACCAGGAAAGAATTCCACTCTCAATGATTTTCTAATATCTGCCTTATCTGCGAACTCTCCTGTGCCCAGTGCTCTCTTTTCATAGCTGAGGAAATTCCTCGGTGCCTGCCAAAGCCTGCTGTTCTCCAACGGGGCCAAGCGCCAGCTGAATTCTTCAGTTGCAGGGTAAGCCTGAAAAATTCTGCACTGAGGTCTCGTTTTGTTTTGGTTTGTTCTCTCAAAACACATTATCTGGACCATAAAATACTCTATTCTAATGAACAACTTAAAAAAAAACAAACTAGATGAGCACTAGATTAACTGGGGTACAAAAAATCACCTTGTCTTGCAGAAACACCATGAAGAAGTTTTCCACCACCAAGGATTATTCCCCCCCTCACCATGGCCACAGGGTTGCTAGGCAGCTTTTTCTTTCCTCACTTACTATGCTCTGGATGCCACATTTAACAATCTACCTTCATGCCAGAGCCAACTCCTACCCCAGCCCAGGGGCTCATCTCTGTGCTGCAGCACATGGGTACAGAGGGGGTCCCCAAACTGGAGTCCATGAGACAGCACAAGCAGCCTGTACAGAGTTCATGACACCAGTGTACTCCAGGTGCCATTCCTTCATTTTCCCTGAGAAGTTTTGTAACAAAGATGTCTAGTGGCATCCCATCTTTCCCTGGGAACACTGAAGGTGTTCTGCTCTAAATACAAATATCCAGATGAAACATGCCAGCTGAACACCAAAGGTCATCACAGACTTTGGATTTACTTTATTCATGGCCCATTTCATGTTGCTTTACATTCAGCTCTACTCTGCCATAGCTGCTCCCCTCTGAGCTCCTATTTTCCAAGACTTCAGCACGTGTTGAATTGTTACCATCTGAGTAGTTCCATTTAACCATGTTTGTAAAAGTGACCTGTGTTTCTACAGGGAACGGGAAGATCTGCTGGACAACTTATTGCTCAGCAACAAAAATTTGGCCCAGATGACAGTAGGAGCATTACCAGGGCAGACTAGTCCTGCAGTGTCTATTGTCAGCTTCTTTGGTGTTTTTTTTGTTTTTCTTTTCCATCTGTCAAGGGGGTCTTCTCCTCCCCCATCTCTTTTTCAGATTTTAAAATGTTGGCATCACAGATCCCGACAGCTCCATTCAGAGGCTTTGTGTGAATTCATTCCAAGACATTCTTGGCTCATCTCTCTCTGACATCCATGTCAGCAGCCAGCCAGCCAAAATAAGGCTACTCACAAGTGCTTTCCCTTTTCCTTTTATGACCAGTGTGAAAGTAGCATCGTATATGCCCCTTGTCGGAGTCTCATTATTTAGCGCTGGGGTTAGTGCAATAACCTCTTTCCCAGTCACACGAGTGTATTCCAGCCCAGCCTCCACCAGCTCAGGTTCACCCACATCACCTCTCTGTTCCTTCTTTTGCTCCCTTCACCCTTTGGGCACTCACAGACCCCTTGTCACCATTTCCAACAGGCTCACTCTTCCTCTTGCCAACATGACCAGTGTGCCCCCCTTGGCCCCCAGACACATACTGGTGCCAGCCTGCATCTGTCCAGCTACCGAGGGAATTGCCTTTCTCTCCTGTGGTTCCCAGACCTTAGGAAAAGCTCTTTGTAAACATACTCTGTGTACTGCACCCTTCTTCTACATCTCCCCTGAAACAGAACAAAACAGAATCACAGAATCAATTAGGCCGGAAAAGACCTCTGAAATCATCAAGTCCAATCTTTGACTGAACACCACCATGGTACCAAGTGCCACGTCCAGTCTTTCCTTAAACACCTCTGGGGACAGTGACACCACCACCTCCCTGGGCAGTCCTTTCCAATGTCTCATCACCCTTTCTGTGAAGAAATTCCTCCTGATGTCCAACCTAAACATCCCATGGCGCAGTTTAAGCTCTCATCCTGTTGTTGGTTCCCTGGGAGAAGAGACCGACCCCCACTTACTACAACCTCCTTTCAGGTAGTTGTAGAGAGCAATAAGGTCTCCCTCAGTCTCTTTTCTTCCAGGCTGAACACCCCCAGCTCCCTCAGCTGCTCCTCATTGGACATGCATTCCAGAACCTTCACCAGCTTCGTTGCCCTTCTCTGGACTCACTCCAGCACCTCAATGTCCTTCCTGAATTGAGGGGCCCAGAACTGGACACAGGACTCGAGATGTGGCCTCACCAGTGTCAAGTACAGGGGAAGAATCACTTCCCTAGTCCTGCTGGTCACACTATTTTTGATACAGGCCGGGATGCCATTGGTCTTCTTGGCTGGTTCAAGGACAAAGATTAAACAGGCCCGTTTTTCCACTGAGAGCTGCTCCCCTTAAGCACAGTCTCATGGTCCCATCATTTCCTAACGCCCCCTGTTTTGGTCTACAAGTTGCTTTGGTTTGCCACCTCCCGTGGAAGAGGAGCATCCCTCCTCTCACACTTCACCAACACGATTCCTCATGGAATTCCTCACACAAACGCTTCTGAGCCCCGTTAAGAGCACGAGAGTACGATTCTCTCATAGTGAGTCACAGTGACTAATTTCCTACCACCCTTCACTGCTGCACAAAGCCAATTGTCCAGCCTGGGTCCTGCCCACTCGTCACAGGCTCTCACCCCTGCCACTGCCTTGCTACATTGTTCGAGGTCTTCCTCTCCCTTCGGACCATCCCTCTTACCCCTGATTACACCCCTCTTCCTCTTCCCACCAGCCATTGACTTCACATTTAGTAGGAAGGCAAAACAAAGATAAGAGGTATAATAACCCTATAAACACCCCAGACACGAGAAAAGACTGGTTTAAATTTTCTAGGCCTAATGAGTAACTTTAGTCACTCATACATTACAGGCCCAAATGAGACAGTATTTTCACAAGTGGCTCACCGTCCACATTCTGTAGGTATCACACCAGGAATCCAACACCCTAGGACTTAGAAAATCCACCCCAACGTAGCACATAAAACAAGAAGAGCCAAATAAATTCACTTCCTAAGCAGAGACGAGCCACAAAGCAACATACAAAGAGCTTCCAGAGAGAGTGTAAAAACTAATTGATGTGTATTTTTTCCGAGACCCAATCACACACACACACTACAAGTAGTTTTGCTGGCTGTCAAGTGCAACTATATTTAAAATCGCAGTGTTTCAAGACCCAGATGAAAAGAGGATTTAATGTTGGCACATTACAGAAACTTTAAAAATAAGTCAGTTTTAAAACTGCAGATTGCAGATGGAATTGGATTTAAATATAGGAGAGGAAGTATTGGCATGTAGCTCATGCTCAAACCACAGGAGCAGCTGTACCTGCATACACAGGACTGACACTTGAGCCTTGCTGTATCAGTGTCTGAATGTGCTGAAACACAGTGACAAAATAATGACTGTGTCCAGATTTAAAGCTGTAATTTAAGAACAGAATACACAAATGTTTCTGCTGGTGTAGATAAAGGGCTAAGATCTGCAGCCAGCATAACAGTAGAATTTCTGAAGATTATAGATCAAAAAAAGTAAAAAAAAAAAAAAAAATAAAAATCAGTGCATACTGGAAGAAGACAATATTCAAAATTACACAAAGGACTGATTTGGCTGTCCCTTCTCTCAGCAGCTCAGAACACATACAAAGATACAAATGGATAAAAGACATCTCATTAAATCCTTACTATTCCAAGCAAGTCCTAGTTTTTCCTCCAAGCATTTGCTGTTTCTCCAGACCCAATTGACTCACCTCCATCCCTTTGGTCCAAATGTGTTAAAAACAAATGTGTGATGCAAACCCTTCACAGTAGGGTCTTAGCTACATAACACACACACACTTATTCTTCTCATAGTATTTAAAGAAAATTATCTATTTTAATGGAAGGCTCAAAGATCACTTCTAGGCAGAGTAACTAGAAATCACTGTCTTTAACAGTGAAACCTGTTATACTTAGGAACGTCTGTGCAACATGATGGCAGCACCTTATACTGGATTACACAAACCAAAGATTCATTGTCAGTAAGTTTTGTGACTGAGAAGGGAAGAGTTCAGCAGGCTACACTACTACCATTCTCAGAAAAAAATATGATTTTATTATATTTTTTAAAAAACAAGTTCCACTAAATTATTAAACGTATTTCCCTAATATCACAGATCTCTACTAACCTCTTTATCTCCAAGCACCATCTCTCCATTTTACAAGAGTGTTTATCTTCCTCATGGTAATGTGGATGAGAAATACTTTATTGTGAAACACCCTCTTAGTGCAACATAGACCTACCTCAATCAGATAGAAGCTTCTCTTTGCTGTCCTGCCTGCCCTTTCCAACACATCCATGTGGGGCTGCTGCCATCATGCACACCTTTTCTCCCGAGCAGGACTATCAGTTTGACACCACATTCATCATTTGCCACAAAAAGTCTATGGAAGAACAACCTCTTCCTGCGTCTCCCGAAAACTAATTCTTGGTGGCCAAAGGAGAAGGCAGCAGCCTCACTTCAGACTTGTTTCTGCACTCCCAGATCCTCCACTTGACACTTCCCTCAGGAGCCTTGATATCACAGACAGAACTGCACAGACATAGAGCCCTGCTTTTTTTTCATCCCTTCTCTCTCACAAGCAGATGAAAATACCAAAACTGTTCAGGAAGATGTCTGATAGGTAACAAGGAGACAAGTTTAATTTCCCTCTCCTTTTCACTTTTTTATCTTTTTTTAAACACAAGCATTTGTAGACATGGGGCTCTAGTGAGACAGCAGAGCACAACACTGTGCTACAGCTTGGAAACACAACTGCTGCTTTAGTCCACCTGGGCCAGTCAGTGATCTTAAAACAGAAGCAGCAGAACCAGCCCACCAGCATTCTGGCTGCTTCCTTAGCCATTTCATTCTGCCCAGCACCTGTGGACCACATTGCAGCTCTTCCAGCAGCCAGCACAGCATGCTGCAGACACACTCTCAGGTGAGTGCACTGAGCACACGTATCGCGTCAGTACACACAAGGTGTGGAAGATAGCGCGACAGGAAAACAGGATTCCTTTAAAAAGCAGGACAACGGAAAAAAAAAAGCCTCTCTGCAACCTGCTTCAGTTAGTTCTGTAACACTGCTACACAAATACTCACTTTCACAACACCACCTGTGAAAGATCCAGGACCTGCACACGTTTGCAGCCTGAGCTCAGTCAGGTCTGGCCTCTCGCCTGACTCCTGCCCCGCAGTCACTTCTGGCCAAGTTCAGCTCTATCTCACGGCCCAATCGCCCCGAGAGAAGAAAAGGAGAAGAGGAACAGGCTGCTTGCAGAATGCTGCCTGTTCTGGACACTCATTACATAATTCTAAAAAACAAAGTTCATTAGCTACCAGCCACACTTGGAAATGCCGCCCACAGCACGGCCACTCACAGAGTTAATCTCACGAAAGGCGCCAACTTCGGCTTGCTGCTGCGTCCCACACAACCCCAGCACTCAGCACAAGGACCCACAGTCCCAAATGTCAACAGGTGTTGCGTTCTTATTCAAAATATTTATTTAGCCAGATTCCTGCTATTATTCCCAGGCCAAGATGGTCCCATAAAGCAGGGCCAAGATGGGACTGGATTCAGCAAGCTGCCTGAGAGCTCTTTTAAGAGCACAAACACTACTTCAGCGTATAAGCTAAGGAAAGAATGGCACAGTTGGAGCCTCTTGACTAATTCTCCTGTTTATATCCAAATAAGAGGGCACTGTGGAACCTCATCCTCCCCTTGGCAAGCTGTGAATTTCACTTGGACGCAGCCAACCCCTATAGATGGGACCTTGTGGCTACCCCACAAAAGATTTTGGCCAGAAAGGGTACCAAGGACATGTGGCTGAAAGCGGACCAGAAGCACAACAAGGGTTTGTGCAGTGACATCTCGGGGAGGACGAAGCGCTTGCCTGGGCTGAATGAAAATCAGCCCGCTCGGGTTCCAGGGGGGGTCCGGGCCACCCTCCAGCGGGACGGAGGCGCCCAGGGGCGCGGGGACAGGCGATGCCGTGGGATGAAGCACAGCCCGGGTGGGGAACACGCAACGCCCAGCCCGAAGGGAGCTGTGAAAGCGGGTGCCCGTGCCCAGCCCGAAGGGAGCTGTGAAAGCGGGTGCCCGTGCCCAGCCCGGGCAGGTCTCAGCCCCGCGCCCCCATGTCGGCTGTGCAGGCGGTCGGCGGGGACACCCCGGGCCGTGTCACGGCCCCTCGCACCCCATCGGGCCCCGGCCCCGCGTCCCCCGGGATCGCCACCCCGCGCTTGCCTTCAGCTGGGACTTGGAGACCTTCCCGCTGCGGTCGAGGTCGAGGGCGGTGAAGGCGTGCCAGATGGACTTGAGCAGCTCCTCCTTGAGCCCCACCATGGCCGGCCCGCTCCCAGCGCCGCTCCCAGCGCCGCTCTGCCCTCGCCTCCGCCGGCCCCGCCGCGCCCGCCCCGGGGGCGGGTGCCCGGCCCTGCCCGGCCCTGCTCGGCCCTGCCCGGCCCCGAAGGCACCGCCCCGGGAGCCGCGTCCCGCCCCGGCGGCCCAGCCCGGGGTCGGGGCCGAGGGAGCCCTCGGTGGGTCTGCCCTGAGCCCCTCGAGGTCCGCATCGCCGTCGCATTTGAACTGCACACCCGCCCTTCTTCTCAGTTTCTTTCCCTCGGGCTTACTGCTCTCCAAATCTGTCTTTCCTGTTGCAGTCCTGCCTTGTTTTCTCATTAGGAAATTGAGGAGATACACACAGTTAATGAACAATTTTGTCCTTCGCTGTATGTTGTCCTTCTCAGTTTTTCCGATGTCGTGCTGTGACGCGTGTGAATAAATTAACATTTGTCACTTTGCTGTTCTCCAATACTGTTAAAATGCCAGTTGGGATTTTCACGCATCAGTTGAGATAGTAAATAAAACAGTCTTGTCCTCATAATGTGTCACTAGATAGACAAAATAAGTACTGCATGGCATTGAAAACTGTCTTGAAGGTATCAATGAGCCTGGTACTTTTTTTGTCTTTCAAAATAATTCCCCTCTAGGCAATTGTGACTTTTGGGAGAATAGGAATACAACCGGGTCTATAAATTCCATTCACAGAAGTCTCGGGTCCAACATTCCCAGCAGGATATACACACTGAGGAGAGCAGCTTTCCTCTTGGAATCTTCCTGTCCCAAGGCTGTCAAAATGCAGCTTGGAAGGAAGGCTGCACACAGCTGAAGAGAGTGAAGTGCAATCACAGTGCAGGGGGAGATCTAAAAAAACCTCCTTCTCCAATACTTCCAGAGCTGAAGCAGGACAAAATGTGATCGCAAGGAAGGAGTTGTGTTGATGGGAGTTTTTTTAGGGTGGTAGGGTGTTTGGGGGTTTTTTTTGTGTTAACTCCTCTTTAATGCTGTGAGTTGGGAGTTAGTACTGGTCAGTGCAGCTGCTGTGCTTAGAATTCAACCAAGATTAATAAAATAAGTTTATGTGGCATTTCTGTTGCATTTTTCAGGAAAACCAACTTATTATTTATTATGTATGTGCTGTGACCTCAACAGCCCTTTTTTCTGTATATAGAGTCTCCATTTTTCCAGCTAAGCAGTGTTGGTTGTCATACTTAGCAAAAAATACTTCTTCAGACACGCTTTGAAGAGAGAAATGATGGAATGGCTGTTTTCTACAACCTGACAGATGCCTTCAGCGTTTCGATCTGAACAGCAAATACTACAGATCATGTCAGCAACACAGCCAGGATCCAAACCTCAAAGGCACTGAAGCCCTAGGCCCAAATGTCAGCCACCCACTGAGACTTCTGTGAGGTTATTTTGCTGTAAAGGACAATGGGTGAGAAGAAGAAAGCGATGGTGGGCATGGACTAAACATCAGAACGTGCAAATCACTCTAATATTTACTGACTGGCAGAGGCTGAGAAATAAGACTGTTGCATGCAATATTTCTTGCAACTGATGGCAAAGCTCAGGCTTTTCTGTTCATCTTTCTGCCTGTAGGAGTTGAATGCTGTACACTGCTTTGACTGCTGCATGTGACTGTCATTCATGGTACCTAGCCCATGATGTTGTCAAGGTTTCACTTTCATGGATTTTACGCAGAACCATTAAGATCCCAAACTCAAGACATATAAATAAACAAGGGAGGGAAAAATTAACTTTTGTCCAATTTTAGTCTTCAATTAACTGCATCACCGGAACAAAAACAGCACTCCAAGTGAAATAGTTCTGGCAGGTACAGTTTGATGGCTGTTTGTACCAGGTGGCACTGGTTCTTTATGATCCCAGTAAGAAAGGTACTCAGACTCTGAAGTGTTACTTAGAATATCATTTATTGGATCTAACATTATAATGGAGAGAACATAGTGGATAACCTTACATTCCTTGAGGTGCTGGGAACCCGGAGCTGTGCAGCATCTCTGAGCAAGGTACAGCATGTCACACAGATCCTGCCCCTGGAAAAGTTATACCATTTTGGTCATTCAAACAGTTACAGGATTTTCTCACAAGAAAGCAACTCTATACATCGTTTCTACTGCCAAACAGAAAGGATGTTCACACCAGAACCTCTTGCTGCCATTTTCAGATAAAGAGCAGGACACATGGGTTTTAATCCCATGTACCAAGTAGGAGCTGCTCTCAAGCTCCTCTGGGACAATGAACCAGGTAACATTTGTCCCACATGGACCTGGAGGCCAGGTTGGACAGGCAGCACAGTTCAGCACAAGCTGGGTAGGCACAGGTCTGACTTACATGGATTGCTAATCCTCCTGGTGCAGTGGTACCTGGACAGATGAGCAGATAGCAAAGTCCACTGCAGGAAGTACTTTTAATTCTCATAGGTGATAATTCATAAAATTAGTTTTCCATATGTGGTGAATTGAAAACTAGAATCATCCACAGATTTCCAGTAATTTTTATTTCTTTAGTGTCTAGCAGAGATGTTGTAGTCTCTCAGTACCACAGTCAACAAACACAATCTCCTTTATTCATAAAACATATTCTAGCAGCCTTTTCCCCCTCTTTTTTCTTAATGTCTTTCTCCATAATTTATTCAGGACTTTGGAATCCACAAAAAATTATTTATGCTCCTTCCTCCAGATGGATGGTGTGAGCTACACAATTAACATTAAAAATTATATTAATTAAATTTCCTAATGAACCTGATTTGCTAACATTATAGCTGTTAATATTACCGGAAACATCTTGAAATACATCAGCATTTCTTCAATTTGACCACAGCTATTCCACTTAAGAAGGAAGGAGACAACTTTTGCATATGCAGATAACCTAAAAATCTTATTTGGTAGTGAGCACTTGTAAACAGAGAACATCCTTATTTAAGTGCATTAAAATATAGTTAGATTCTGAAATGTCACTGAAGAAAAGCAATTAATATAGTTCACACATGAATCTCTTAATGGCAGGGACTTAGTTTCTATTTTGAATAGAGTACAGTGATTTTTTGGCAGCTCATTTTTGTAAAAACAATAGAGTAGAAAAATAAAACAAAATGCCCCAGAAGTTGTTAAAAAAACCAACAAGAACAGCAACAAAAAATAACTGCCACACCCCCACACATAAAAACCAACCAACCAAAAAAACCTAACCAAAACCAACCCAAAACACCTGCCAAAACAACAAGAAAACCAACACCCAAAACCTGTGTGCAGCTTTTCATTTGCTCTTAATTCTTTTTGCTGACTTCTATTATTCTTGATTTAAATGACAAGCTAAAATGCTAAAATCCTTTGCCAGAGCAGGATTTGTTTTCCACTCAGAATATAAATAGTTCCATTCAGGGCACTAGGTTAGCAGTCCACGCTTAAATGTTTCATTAAAATGAGTGGTTTATATAAGCCTCAGCTGCTCCAGCTTTCGGTAGGTTAATCAAAAGGATATTTACAAGTTATGCATAAAACTAGTACATGATTTTAAATAGTCATGCTCATATTTAAAATTGTTTGTATAGGACTGAACTAACTGAGCAAAACCAGTTAAACCGAAGTTCGTACGCAGACATAAACTCAGTGTGGAACAAAACCGTTGTTTTTTATACTTACCCAAAATAGCTTTAACAAAGTTACAGGACTAACTGCATCCACACCCAAAGCGTGAGCTATTTTAAGCAACCCTTCTGTTTTGATATGCTAGTCTGGATCTTTGCTTATCAAAGACTTTACATTCTAAACCTTTGAAGATAAGATTGACATGTAATCCATTAAACATTAATTAACAGCAATCACGCTTAACCATGAAACCCTTGATAGCACTACACAGACTCTGAATTACTTGCATAGTACAAAAGTAAGCTCTGATGCAACCTCACATACTTCTGCTTTTCTTGAAAGTTGCCTGAGATCTCAGCAACTTTATTTTAAATCTGTGCTTATTCTCATTTTGTTTGCTCACCACAGTTAAAAACATGTCTGAAGGGTGCTGAGATCAGGGAGGGAAAACTGGCTCACAGTCTCACAGAGTGACTCATGCTTTCAGGAAGGAGCTTTAGTTAGACCCTGCTGTGTCTCAGCCTTAAGAGGTCAATCACTTCTCTCTTGGTCTCCTTGCAGAAGCTTAATTACTCCTTGTTAGCCAAATAATAAGTATTTGTAAAGGAGGTTCTAACCAGAGGAAAGATTACGCACTTGAACCGTTACTAATTTTGTTTTATGCCACTGAGTCAGTTAAACTGACATCAAGGAAAGAATTCAGGCACATCAGTAACTCAGTTTTCTGCTCATTGTTCGCCCAGAGAAAAATCTTCCTGACCTGTGGCTAGACCAGTCATTTTCATTCTCCATAGGAAAACTAAATGGAAGCAAACAGAAATTGAGGACCATTAAGCCAACTTCATAGCAAATTCTATTTCCAGTATCTGCCACTTCACAGCGATGTTTCAGTAGAAAATAAAACTGAAGCAAATGCTAATGTTTGTGATCAATATTTTAGTTTCTGAACAGATTGCCATAAAACATCTCAAGGAAACATTGGGGGTCAGTGTAAAAAACAGTTAAGTGTATTTGATATTATACCATGACCCAGTCCTCAAGCCATCTTGGGACTTGCTTTTTGTTATTTTAAAATATTTCAAAAATTTTATCTCTGGCCTTATACACATGCTTTAAACATTCTCACTGGAACTATGCAGAAATTAAGCATGAAAATTGTTTTAGATGAAACAGGAAGCAGCATTAGATGCTGAATCAGAATGGCAGCTCAGTCTCTCCTACAAAAAAAAAAAAAAAGGTTAATTTTCCATTCACTTCCAAGAGTTCTAGAGCAATCTTTAAAGGGATTCCAGCAAAGCACAGCTACTTCATTATAGTATTCTGTTATTTATACACATATGCACAACACATGCATTTTTATTCAAATTTGACAAAAGAAACATAATGAAGGGGTAGAGTGTTAGGTTACCTTTCAGTTCCTCCCTGGTGTCATGGTTTGAGATAGCCCCAAAATCCAATTCCCTAGCCCTAGCCCCCTTCCCCATCTCA